TAATTCATATCATGAAACAAGCATGATATAAAAATATAGTTTGATAATAATTAACACTTCATAAGAAAGGGAAATTAAAGGTAAATTCAGTTATGGCAAAGCTTTAAGATCTTAGATATTCAATGTACACATACAATGATTGAATTGAAATTGGGAAATTTATATAATATGTGATTTTCTATAACATCTACCATGTTTCCCTGAAAATAAGACCTACCCTGAAAATAAGAGCTAGCTTGAATTTTGAAAATAATTTTAATATAAGCCCTCCCCTTAAATAAAGACCTAGTCAATAACACGAACTTTTTTTTGACCTAGTCGATAGCGAGAAATCTCTCCTACACGTTTAAAATAATTGATAGTCTATGTTTTGCAGTTATTTTGAATGAAAAATTGTTATTTATATGTAAATGGATATTGGTTTCCATATTTGAAAATCTCATATTTCTCTACTTTGTAATTTTGTTTTTTAAATGAAAATATAAGGACATCCCCCGAAAATAGGCCCTAGTGTTATTTTTCGGTAGAAAATTCAAAAAGGACCCAGTCTCATTTTCGGGAAAACACGGTAGTAATATATATGAGCGACACTACTCTATCTTGCTAAAAAATGTGAAATTATTTTGCATTCAGCAAAAGAAGTCAAGAAAATATATGGGGGGAAGTTGGTAAGAAATATTTTTTTAACGAATACAAGTTTTGCCAGTTTATATTGGATTAAACGAGTTTGAATGAGCGGCAGTCAGCAATATAAAATGTTAACTCAAATAATTATTAAATTTGAAATGTCGAAAAGAAAATCTTCCCTCTAAGTGCCAATTGTAAAAATTCATGCCAATAGACAAAGAGCATACTAATAAATCGTCGCCTTCTTTGAATCATCCAATTTAACCATTAAAAGTACATCTATGGTACTAAATTCAATAGGTCAATAACTGAGAATTCACTATAAAATTTTTAATTTTTATTACATTTTCATATCAAGGTACTCAAATTGTTATCGCAGAAGGTAGATTACTAAATTAAAAGCTCTATGGATTGTGAGCTAAAATTGCACAATTGTTGCAGCATTCATAGCAGTAACTATTTTAAAAAACTATTCAAGATATAATGGAATAAAATATCTAATAGACTCCGTGTTTATGCCTGTACACAATATCTTTTGAGTTCTTCAGCCCAATACTCCATATAAACAAATAGGCCGATCAACAATCTCAATGAATTCTCAAGATTTCAATGTGAATCTGTTCCTCGTACTGCGACGTGGAGGTGATGATTAAATATACCCACAATCACAAGAGCCTGCAAAAATACATACTGTTGAATAAACTTGGAAATTTTTCTCATACATAAAAATGAAAATTTAATAAACACAAGATGCATTCAATTACTCACTACTAGAAACTGAAAGTTTTTTTGAAATTCACTGAAATTAACTTTTCTATTTGAATTTGGTGTTGTTCATTCGGGCTCACAAGTATATTGCTACATGTACATTTACTACAGAGGTAATTTTTATATATATTTGAGAAGTTTTACACGTCGAACTACTAATATAGATTACAATAGGCTATGGTAAAATACCTTCTTCGTTTGCAAAACCAACATTTCTCTCCCACTGCTGTTATCGATAGTGATTTTACATTTTGGAGCTCTAGATGAATCACCTTCTTCAAACTGGACATCTTCAACTGATGACAAGTCGTATTCTTTTTCAATATGCTGAAAAATAATTGTTTCTTGAATTATATGTGTGATATTATTTTGAATAAAAAGACAATTTTACAATTTTATATAAGACAATTTACTTTTGAGATTAAGAAGTTGAATATTATATGATTGGTTTCCTGTGGCTATCGTTAGAATTAGGTACGCTTCAATGACCTTGCTTTGATCAGAATGGTGAAAAATTTGAAGTAAGTACCAGTTCATCAACTTGAATGCTGCTATAAAACTTACATGAGTTTCTGGTTCAAAAATGTAAACATTCTGAGCATTGATAGCGATCATCTTTGTAACCGATTGTCCATTGGGACCCATAACCTAAGAATCAAAAATAATAGAGGAATGTTAAAACAGAATAATTCTATATTTCGTAACAATTTGAGATGAGTGGAAAAAAGAAAGATAAATAAAATAAAGAAAAAATTGCAAATCATTAAACTAATCATCAGAGAGAGAGATCTGGCAGCATTTTGATTCTAGCATTGTGGGAAATGAGCATTATATTGAGTCTGCACAATTCAAGATGACTTTTGTTATTGATACCTTGTCCTTTTACATTATAAAACTATTGGTATCAAAAAGCACTCTTCAAGAGAGTGTTTGTACATTTAACACAACATTTTAAAAACAATATTTTCTCATGATCTGCTGCTCTGATTTGAAGTAACATTTATAATCTTTTTCTGCTATAACAACCTCACAAATTTCTATTTGAAAAATAAATTTTTAACGAATATCTAAAAAGAAGATTATTTGGGTTACAATACCTCAACAGTAAAAAATGATGATCCAAACATTTTCTTCTTCATCAACATTGCCAGAACTTCGCTTCTTGCATCGTGGGGAGGTTGTTGCTGAACTTTGGTGAATTCATTGTGAGCATTATCTCTCCATATAGTATGAGGTTCAGTTTGCAAAACTTTTCTCGGAATTAATGACAAGACTTCTTGTCTGCGATATTATGATATAAGAAACATAAATAAGCATATTTTCGATTCATTTTTTATTTGTTCATTTAATGTGTTTCATACCTCTTCAAACAAAGCTCAAAGAATAGAGAGCTTAGCTTGTTGACTTGAAAGAATGAAATATTTTCGATTCGGCAATATACCTTTTATTTTGAACGCCTGTAATCTAATAATCAATAGCACACAAAAGTATCTGAGCATTTGCCTTTAAATACAATTTCAAAAATGTTCATTACACTGTAAATTCTTGAGAAATGCTAAGTAAACAACAATGTGCAATTCACTTTATTCTTGCTACTTGAAATATTGAACATAAAAGAAAATCCCATTAAAAAGGAAAACGTACTCTGAGGGAAGATTGTCTCCATCATATCCCCTGTGAATCAGTGCACACAATTTTGCAGTTTCGCCAATTTGGGCTCTTGTCAACCCCTCAGTTAGTTCACGATATGTCAGAAGCTTCCCATCAAGGTACTCCGGGATGAACTGTCAACAAAAAAACTTTGTGAAAAATAATATAATTTACGAGAGTTTCTTGGAAACATTAATCAAAACTAATATTTAAAGTTAAAACTAACTTTCTGTAGATTAGTTTACTTCTGTCTTAATATTAAAGCATGTGTATAACGGGTTCCCCCACTTCAGATAATATTTGAATGTCCCTACGTAAGCTATATTAACTTGACAGATTTTACTTAAATCTAATACATAACTTTCGCAACAAATATAATGCTAGTCAGATGCAATGCATGTGACTCATTCGCTGCGATAACTTGCTGTGATAGGTTCGTGCCAATCCCACCACAGGAAAAACTAATAAAGTTTGAAAACAGAAAGAAAAAAACAGCGCACCTGCTTGAACAACAACTTGACCACTTTGTCATTGTCATAATCTATTTGTTTCTTCCATACAACTCTCTGGAACATGAGTGAGTAGGGCTTCTTTTTATGGACCATGCCATTGTAAACATCAAACAAATATATGTGTCGCCTCAGAGGAACAATATCTGTCACTAAATAAGAATGTAAAAATATCTGTTAGCAAGACAAAATGTACATTCTATCAAACAGTCATCTGTCTGGAATGGGTGGCATGATCAAAATTGATGCAGTTTAAAATATACATACTTATATTACTAATAAAAAAAAGTCTGGGGAGAAATTACTCCATTCTTGAACTTATTCAGAAACAATGTCTTGCTTCAGGGGCGTTTATGTACATTTTGATTCTTGAATTCATGGCATGTAGTTTCCAAGCAAGTTAATGCAAGACTAAGCATAATAGTTCCAGGCACTACATATAAAGACCAATTATCAAACTCTTTAAACTATAAATTTAAGTTACCATTAGCCTGTTCATTCATATCCAGTTTGAAAAGCCCATATTCTTTCATGTCATTGGGATTTTTGATTCCAAGATTTACACAAAACTGTTTTATGATATGCATGACAACCTGCATGAAGGAAATTGAATGTCAACTTTAGCTTGGTATTATTAATCGACAGGGCTAAGGAGTCAAAAAAATTCACAATTTACTCCACACTCCCAGTTAAAAAAAAAAAGCTCTGATTTTGGGTTGGAAAAAGTTTTGACTCTGATTTCAGGTTGTAAATAATTTTAACTCCAGCTCTATACTTTAGAAATAAATTTTAATAAAAACTTTTGCGTATGCAAGTTTTCTTCAATGGAATGTTAGGAACACGTCGAAAAATTGATGCTTTTTGAGTGCTAGTAAGGAGTTTTGGCTTATTTTATCACAATTGCAAATGCAACGACCTCGACTACAGCATATGCATGCTAAATCCCTACTCAAACTCTACATTCCTAGATAAAATTGCCAATGACAAAAAAATAAATATTCAAGTATGAATAAAAAACAATGAACAAAAAACTAAATTAAAAATCCCAATGCAAGGACTGGCACAAAATGTATTTTAATGGCTTTAACAGCACATTAATTTTGCATAGGAGTTACCGATGAAGTAGTAAACTTGTAATCCCATTGTACTCCACCAGGAAGCATAACAGGTTGATCCAGAGATGTTCGTCCGACCTAAAATAATAGAAAAATCTGAGAAGTCTTTTTTTCTTTACATTTTAAATATAACATCACTATATGTTAAGTTGAATAGGTTGTTTATACTGAAACATAAAAAAATAACTTGGATCAATTTTAAACTACAATATGAAATGTATTAATTATAGGATAATGCATAAAAAGTATTCCGATGTATATAAAAAAATGGTATTGTCAATAAAGAATGTTTCTAACAATAGTAAAATTCTGATATCAAATAATCAATTACCTTCAATGCCTGAATTTCAATTTCACTTGGTCTATCCACTCTACCTCCAAAATCTACAGTATGTTGTAGATTGACCAAACACACCTTTGCTGCATCTGAGTTTAAAATTCAACAAATATGATAGTAATTTACATAAAAAATGAGATATGAAAAAGATATGTTTTGAATAATGACAAAAAGGAGGTCACAAAAACATGTAATTAGATGGAGATATTAATGTTATTGGCGCGGCGGTGTGGCTCAACGGGCTAAGCGTTAGGAATACGCTCGCCACCGCACCTCTAATTACTCTGCGTGGGTTCGCAGGTTCGAATCCCATGCAGAGATGGCTATGTGCGAGAAGATTGCTGGACTCCTCGCCGTCGTTGGGGGGTTCACGTAACCGCTGGTTGGTTACGGCTTCCTCCACCACCAAGTCCATGCTTCCGGAAACAAACAATATAACTAATCCCATACCCGACTTGGAATGGTAACCGGACGAGAGGCCGTGGTTCGCCATATGGATAAGCCGTCTTATCGGCTTTCCTCTCCCCCGGGATAAATATGTAAATCCTATCCTATGTTTAACGTTAATCAAATATATTTATTTTTAATCATCCTTCAAGTGATTTATTTATCTGACTATCATACCAAGTAGAACTTGACCCTAAAGTAGTACTTTAGCTAATATATTCAACCTCGATCCATCACATTCATAAACAAAAAACTTAGATTACCCTACCTTATTATAGTATAAGACTTACTTGCATATTCATCACTTTGACTCTCGGAAATTGCATACAGGTGAGCCAGCATATGTGGAAGTAAAATTTTTGAGCACGGAAAATACGCCAGAAAAAGTGAAAATAATTGCCAACCCCGTTTGCAGCTGGAGCTGAAATAATAAATATACAAACAGTATAAAAATAGGATGTATGATACAATAATATTCATTTTACCTTTTTCTGTTTTGGGTTGTCTGCTTTGCCAGATAAATACAAACTTCGTCATTCAAGATATCTTTCTTGTGCTTGCGGCATGCCATAAGAATGGAATACAAGCATGCTAGATCACTTGTTGCTTTTGTCGTAATATCTCCCATGAAGTGTTGGATGTCTGATATGAGAAAAAATTATTGAATGATTGTCATTGAAAAGTAATTTGAAGAACCATGATTCAGTTGGTATAAGCAGTGGATATTTTATGATTATTCTTCCAGTTATGATACATTTTGGGCAATAAGAAAAATCACTACAAACTATAAGTATTTTGTTTTTATTAGTTTTTTTTAGTGGGATGAGTCCAGTATAAACAATCAACTTATAACAATTACCTTAATCCGACAATACTAAATTGGCTAGGTTTAATCTTAATTTTTTCTGATCTTTTTATTCAAAAAAAAGAAGTTTGTACTCAACAGGAGGTAAATTATAGCTAAAAGCAAACATATAATAAAAACCTTTATTTAATGGTTGTTGACTATAGGCTTCTCAATAAAATGAATAAAATACTGGTGAACGGGGTTTCATTTATAAGCGAGTTGGTTATAGACAGTTTTTAGAATTGGTGCAAATAATAAATTTCACTAATTATCTTTTAAGAAATTTCTTATAAAAAGTAAAATATTACTTCTAAAACAACCCAATGCCGTCTTAGCCAGTTCGTCATCTTTAAACTTCAACAATGGTCGAGTTAAACTGGTCTGTCAAGAATAAAGAATGAGAATCAGTAAAAATATCAAAAATAATTCTTATACATAATATAACTGATTAGCTAGAAAAAATTTATAAATGTTAGAAAACAGTTTCGACACCACCTATCTGGTATATTAAAAAATTTGAAAAAATCACAATTAGTGAAATCATTATAAATTGGGGCCTTTGTCTAATGAAGAACCCCTCCCTTTCAATTTACATACCTTTATACATCAGATTTTTGAATTATTTCAATCTAATCTAAGTTTCTTAGCGTCATACAATACCTTTGAATATTGCAGTAATTTTTCTGCTTCTGCTTTTTTGTTTCGTTCGAAATATTTCGTTGCAAACATAAGCAGAGAATATAAATTACTCTCTCTTGGTGGTGGAAGAACTTCATACAGACTTTCTTGATCTTCTTGATGCGAGAAGACTGGTTCAGTGAAAGGCTGGAAAAGAATTTGCTTTTTTATGATTGTGAGCATTAATACACTTATACACTTGAAATACATAGAATAGTCATCCTTATTCGTGCCCCAGTGTCCTTGCATTCTATTCTTACGGATCCAATAGCAAAGGGGCATTGAGAAAATATAGGTAATAGACTAATAGTATTAGTAAAATATGTATGATGTTTTATGATAATTGAATCTATCGATTTTTCAATGATACAATAAATTATTTAAAAATGAAAAATATTACACTTCAAATTTTAGGATGTTTTACCTCTCATTTATGATATAGCTTGTTATCTTGTGAAAATACAAAAAATTTTTTTTATTGAAAACTAAAAGATTAAAAACCTGAAGTGAACCATTGTTGACAAGAGACTATGAACATTAAATACCTATTGTTATAGAAAACAGCTAAGCAGCTGCGAATTCCACTAGGCCAATCACTGTGAAAAAAATCTTCAGCAAAAAATTTTTGTTGATAAGTAGGAACCTACTTTTCAAGGAAATGAATTAAAAAAGAATGACAACATAATAATCCAAAAGTTTTATTCCTATTATTTAATGATCATCAACAGATAAAATGTATTAAAAGTTTTAAAACTCGTACCTCTTCACTGTCGTTCATCATCGGGCCAGGAGAGACGGGACTTGACGGTGTATTCATTGTTAGATAGGAACGAAGGACTTTATGGAGTTGGTTGGATTTCCTTCATCAGCATAAAATATTCATTATTATTATTATTAATCTGGCCATATTTATAAAATAATCGCCAAATATTTTGTTGGAACACAAATAATTATCTACCTGCAGTAAAATGACACATTATGGCCTTGAATGCTCAATTCTATAACAGATCCTTGATGTACTTCAACATGTGATATTGCGATGAAATTATAAGTCACTCTTTTCCAAGTTGGTGGTCCTGGTAAAATGAACAGCATGTTTAAAAAGACCAAATGTAGATATTAAGATAGAAATATCCATCTCCCAAAACAATAAGCAATTTAGAATAACTATCAAAATTGCTGACTAGAAAAACATAATTATAGTAAACTTCTCTCAATTGAAAAATTATAACATATTTATTATTTTCTTTTTTGATGCTTACTCGCAACTTACACTCTAAACAGTGCCCTGCAACTGGAATTGCACAATATGTCAGTAGCTACTTGTATTAGGAAGGAACAGAATCTTTCCTCGCATTGCCCACCCAATTTATTACACACTAAATGAGGTGGGGATGGAACTTGATCCCGAGATGCATAATCTGCGACACCAACGCAGTTAAGTCTAACACTTACTGTTTTGATAAATGATAACATTTTATCACATGATTGAAGCATTTATCATTTTACTTTACACTGCTAAATGTTTTGTGATGGCAAACAAAAAAGAAGCATGATGGCACACTTAACTGCTGGTCAGTAACATTAATTTATCATTAATTCATTATCATCATCAATAATTTTTTAGATTTATTGCTTAACTCAACAACATTGACCATCAGAAATAGGAAATACTGCAAATTATCGCATAAAATCCACCAGTTGGCGTTCCTCGGTATAAGAAATTAGACAGGGAAAGGGCAGACTTTCACTCTCAATAGTTAAGAAGACTTACCAGTTATTTGCAAGAAATGAACTCCAGTCTGTCCAACTGCAAGCGAATTTGCTTGGTAAATGTTTTTTGGTAGCTCAGATGAAAGTTCTTGAACCTAATTTAAAAACAAATAAAAATTTAGGAATTACCATAGTCATTTTATGTCTGAGATCATGGTGCATTTCAAATGAAACCAAACGTAGTTAGCGTTAAATCTAGAACAGGCCTGCACAACTCAAATTACCACGAGGGCCGCAAGCATAAATCTGTAGGCCCGGCGGGCTGCAAACTTTGCCACATACATATTTCACAAGATGAACTACAAATCAAAATAATATTGTGAAACAGTTAAATTTAATGAAATAAAGGCTAGACAAACAATCCGTTTAGTAGCAATAGATCTTCCTCTGTTGTACTTTTTTGACTGTTAAATTACATTTTTCTACAAAATCTGCTCCAATTTATTTGAGTTTTACAGTAATGAGCAATATCTTTTGAGCGAGAATTTCTGCACCATTCATAAATGAAGAAATTGTTTTTAGGTACTAAATTTAAATCAAAAAAGAAACTTCAGTTTCATGAACTGCTAGTAAAAATAATGGGGTTATTAATAGGTTGCTAATATGCACTAATGGATGTGAGATTGTACCGATATTATTTTTAGCCTGATTTAGACTGAATACTGAGTTATCTAAATCGGGGTTTCCAAAACTGGGGGGCGAGGGGTCGAGCGACGAATTTTAGGGGTCGAGAAAGGCACGCCAATTTCACACACAGTTCGATATTTATTGAAACTAGTGCAAATCATAAATTTCACGATTTTGAATATGATCGGAGTAGCAGCGCGCTAGCATAACAATGCCGGCTTTGATTGTTAGACCCAAGAAGTGACGTGTTTCCAAATCACCCACAGACCGAACAGTAGTATCTTGTAGTATATGTTGTGCAGGCCTGATCTAGAACATCTACTGATAATTTGTTGTCCCTAACATAGTACAAGAACTACACAACGGCATTCAGATCTATATCACCTTGATTCTGAATATCTGGGTGAAATACAGAGTCCAGTTCTCTTTGACATTTTCCAGAATGGATCTTCGAATATTGGCTTCTATTTCTTTGTTGCCAGATTTTTTGAGTTTTTCTCTGATATCCTCACGATCAGCAGGTAGTATTCGTGGGTTAGTTCCATTAGCATCTTTTGTAATCTAAATTTTGAAACACAAAACATATACAATCAAAGCTGCAAGTGTTTAAAAAATGCTATCTTTAACAATCTTTCAAAATAAATGCTGGTTGTTTTACCCTTTACTGAATATCATGGTCTCAAAGTGAACTTTGTTAAAAGTTTTAAATACAATTTCCATGTACCGTACATTGTTGACCTTAAAATGATAAAAAAATTTTCCAACAAACCTTTCGTTTAAGAGTGATTTTTCATATTTTCATCCATTTTTTTTTCAGATACCATAGTAGAATACAGTTTGTTTATAAATAGTTCAGAAAAATATGGATAAAATTGTTCTCATTAGTATTTCCACAAGAACCCAAGTGCTCGACTTTAAATCTACAAAAATTAAAGCACTGAGTTGAACATACCTGTTTGAACAACAATGCTGCCATTGTCATGTCTTTGATGGTTTCCCCAACCTGAAAAATTTCTTTTCTAGCTCTGAGTTTCCAGGGAACATTAACGTATTTGCATGGTACTCGATTTTGCACTTCGTGGGGAACAGTCTTTGTGGTGGCATCAGTCATGAGCCCTATATGAAAAAAAAATTGTGGTTATAATTTATACTTAGAATTCAAAATTACTGTTGTTGGATTTTCTTGAAGTTGCATTAGAAGATGAGATGCTTTAATAAATACACCTTACACCTTCGAAACTGACTTGAAACTTCATTTTTTACTTATATTTTATGCTATAATATTGCCAATGTAATACTTTTAAGTCTCACGTTTTAAACCTCACTTGAAGTTTTGGAAACATCTATGTGTTTTTGTTTTGCGTACTCTGCGTTTGAATCCCAGATGAATTTAGAAAAATCTATCTATCTCATCAGTTACAAAAACTATAGATAAAAGAAATCGTACCTGGGGGAGACTGTGGAATACTTTCTGGGCTGATAGAGCGAGGAGGAACTTTTGGTGGTGGTGGTTCAGCATATTCATGAGCGTCTTCCATCAATACTGCATTCATTCTTTCTTGTTCTTGCTGACGTTTCTTTGCTTCCAATGCAGCAGCAAGTGCTGTAGGTTTTCTCTCATTTCTCTAAAAATCAAAATATTAATAAAGGTGTATGATACTTGAATGCACAAGCTTTCAGAGAGCCCTGCTTGAGGGGAAAGGCATTAACTTCAGAATTTAGGAATGGCACCAATATAATATGATAAACATATAGCAATATAATATGATAAACATATAGCAATATAAATACTTATTATATTCAATATAGACTTTTATTGTGATGATATACATGTTGTTTAGTTAAGAATGAACAATTTAAACAATGTGATTTTAAATCAATTTCATTCATTCAAATATTACCTCACATTGTTCACAATGTAATCGATTTGCAACCTGACAATTTTTGCGATCAAAGTATAAATATAAACATAGGTACATAGAAATAGGCAGCATAAAAATCTTTCAAAATCATTATTTTGGAAGTTTCACTTTTCATAACACCTTTCAAAAAACTAAAAAAATATTACCTCTGGGCTTGAATCAGGTGATGAAGGTGGAGATGGAGATTTAGATTTTGGAATAGGTTTTTGCTCTATCACTGCGATTCTTTCAGGTTGTAACTTCTTGATAGGGCGAGGTTGTGGTTCGGGTTCTCGCTCTGGAGAAGTTGAGCGCTGAGGCTTCTCTGTATTTGTCTGCTATATAGTTATATATACAAATATGATATTTTTAGCTTCAAAGTGGTTTACATTCCTCTTTTTGTTCTTTGAAAAAGGAAAATAAAAGCATTAGTGACTATACATGTTACCTTCTGTTTTCGAAACATTATGATATTGGTATTGATAACTATTACTATCGGTAACTACCATTCTTACCAGTTGTTTCTAATAAAGTTAAATAGCAATATGTTGAAACAGAATCAACTATAGCAGGGTAAACAAAAGTAAGTCCATGTTTTGCAAAGAAAAAAATAAATAAAATACTGGCTCGAAGAATTTTAGATACATTTTGGTAAATTTTGATCGGACACAGAATGTTTGCTATTATATACCTGATGTCTTGCTGCTTCACGTCTTTGACGACTAAGAAGAGCCAACTCTTCTACCGTTGGTTCTGGTGGTTTGTTTGAATGCTAAAAATATAATGCAACCTTATTTGAAATTAATTTCAGTATTGTCAAATAATATTAGCAACAGATGAGATAATTATTTTATCCTTCACCAGGGTAAAATAAAATTGCAATACACAAGACAAACAGCCAACGAGACTAAAATTCAGGAAAGTTCATAAATTTTAAACAATGTTTCAATTATGAGACATAAAAGTACTATGTCAACAGTTAACCTAAACAAAATTGAACCTTATCACTCATAAAAAAAAAATCGCCGTGTCAATATACGTGAATAAATTAAAGTGGCCAACTTGAATAAGATAAGTTCATGTTGGGAATAGGAAAAGATGACCGGTTTGTTTTTTTTCTAAATGAAAGAAATATACTCATTTAACACCTGCTTCTAGTATAACCAGAATAAAAACTTCAGTTTGCTATATGGGATGCTATATGATATGAACCACCGGTATTTAAAGTCTAATTCTAAGAATCATACTTGATTCTTCTTCTTTGCAGCTTCTATAAGTCTTAAAGCTGCTTTATGTGGATCCTCTTTCTCTTCTTCCTTTTTGGGAATCTGAATTAATTTCAAAAATTTGAAATTTCACAAATAAAAAAACAGAAATAGAAAAAAATGTAAAAAATAAATACTATAATCATAACATAATCAAATAGTGAACTACAGCTAAGTATGGAAGTAGTTGAAAAAATGATTAAGTTAAAACTAATTCACAAAGCTAGTAAAACCATTTTTACATGCTAGGCACTCTGTCAATTTTGTCAGGTTACAATACTGCAATTGACCACACGGAAAAGTATTACTGGATTGCTCACTCATAGGCTCAATTATAGCTTCTTCCACATTCAAGCTCTCCCAAATTGAATGGTTAACTGGCTAATAACATACTCCCATACCTGACTTGGACCTGTTATCACCCCAAATTTAATATGAAAAATCATATTCCCAGGCTCAGAGATTCAAATATGCTTTGGAACAAACAATTCAAACACAAATTGTTGAAACAACAAAGTAAGTGACACTGGATACTTTTGCACAACTGTATGAATTGTACAAATACCATATAATATTTTAATGAATTTTGAAGCTTTTTGATTTTTCTTATTGTGATAAAACTTGATTTTGAATTCAAAATTTAAAAATTATTACACTTGCCGGTGGCTTCTTCCAGGATGAACGAGTTTCTGGTTTTGGACTCTCAGGTTCTGGAAACTTCTCCGGAGATTCCTGTCCATACATATTATGGTATGAGTGATTTTTTTGAAAAACATTTCTGGGCTAGTATGTATAAGGCTCACACAGACTAACTATAGAGAATTAACTATTAGCTGATAGTGGAAAGCATCTAACTATTTATTTATTTGTCTACAATTATGAAATTTACTCTATCATTCTAGTTTTATAATCAATATCAACAAAATTTTGTTATTGACTGAAATTTTATATATTTTGTTGGAAAACTAGGTTTAGGAAAAATAAATAAAAAAATGAAACAGTGATTGAAGGTTATCAGTTCTGCACAAAAATTCAAACACTTGTTTGTTTCAAACACTGCATTATTGTTTTTTCCCTCATAAGGTCACGTTTGGAATCGTGTGACACTCAAGTATGTTTGGAAGAATTGTTGATTGTTTGTTTAATGAGTGTTTACTTACAGCCTTCTTCAACATAAATGTCTAAACAGCTGAAACTATTAACTGACTAGTGACTGACATAACTTAAAGTGAGGACGGACCAGACAAAAGCCTATGGTTCACCACGATAGTAAGTGTTCTTATCGTAATATATTTCCCAAACAAGCATATATTATCCAAATAGCTAGAGAATATGTCATTTAAAAGTATTAATAATAAGCTACCGGTAATGATAATAATAACAAAATATAACATACTTCCTCAGCTTTTGGTAGAATTATTTTCTTCGGTTTTTGTGGTGGCCTGTAAGATGATTGCGACTCTGCCATTGCTTTTGCAGCAAAGAACTTCTTCTTTTCGGAGAATGACATTCTTACCGATCCTTGCTTAATGTTATATATATCTTCATCACTTTCATCAAGCTTAAAAAATATGGTTGTATTTTTGTGCCCTACCCTCTGTCATCAATTGAAACACATAAAAAACCGATTTAATATTTTATATAATTTATTCTATGATGTACAAACCAATATTGCAGTTTATTTTGCCAAAATTCCTACAATGCAATTTATAATAGAAATATAAAAGAATAACAAGTTGTGGAATCTGAAATCCAGCCATATATAAAAAACTCTCTTGCCATTAAATTAAAAATATATACATACTTCTTGTGGTTTTGGCTTCGGCTTTGTTGGTTCCCTGAAAAAGAGCAGAATTGATAAAAAAAAAGTCTTATTCTCAACTAAAGCTATGCAGAAATAAAAATAAAAGTTCTTCATTTTGGTATAAGTTTTAATCAATATCAAGAGCTGAAAATACTATTGAATATTTTTAAATTTCCAGCCTTTTTCCATTTAATCATTACCCAATTAGAGATATTGAAATTAAAACACAAAAATTCAAGTTTGAAACTAAAATGTGATTATTTAAAAAAATCTGTACTACAAGTATGTGCTAAAATCAGCGAAATAATTGACAAAATTATAATGATAGCAATATAATTTTACCTGTATTTTGAACTCTCTTTTCCGCTTCCACTTTCACTTTTTTTGTATAGATATCCTGCAGCAGCTGCCTTTCCTTTACTACTGTAAAAATATTTTTTTACTGTAACATAGATTATAAACATCAATATCAAAGAAGGAATTTTAAATTCAAAAAACAATTAGGTATGTCTCGTAAAAGTCAATATTCAAGTTTAAAATTGGGGGAATGTATAGGGGTGAGTACAAATCAGAAATAATAAGTATTAAAATAGTTGGATTATTTCAGTTAACATACTCATGTCTTCTTGGAGAAACTTCATCACTTGAAGATTTGTCACGTCTGTGAGATGACTTTTTGCTCCTGAAAATGTTGGCAGATAAATTATAATAATAATAACTGTAGATTCGGGAAATTGATGGGATGTAGAGAGAAACATCCTGTAAAAAGAGGAGTCAGGCAATTCCATCTCACATGATCACGCTTGAGCCTGTGGAATATAGCAATGTAATCAGTGACCTTTGGATAGGATACAATATCATTTTTATCCTGTGAGAGAGGAAGGGGAATAAGATAACTTGATAATATGGCGTCCCATGATCTCTTGTCTGGTTACCATTTCATGTTGAGTATGGGATTAGTTAGCCAGTTATTTGTCGCAGAACCGTGGACTTGATGGCGGAGGTAGCCGTAACTGACCAGCGGTTACTTGAAACACCCTACAGTGGTAAGGCGTACAGTGATCCCCTTGCATATAAGCATCCCCCACATATCCGATCCTAATAACCCACTCAGAGGTGCGATGAAGAGTTTATTTCTAGCGCTTAACACAATGCGCCACGTGCTGGGCCTATTTCTAATCTCTTTATGTCAATACTCACCTTCCTGACCTTTGACTCTCCTGTTTCCACCTGTTGCCGACTCTTTCATCTTCAGAACTGGAATCTCGTCTTGATGATCTTTTATCTTGTTTATTCAACAACTTTTGTAGCTCTTTTTGTTGTTTCTGAATTGAGATTTTGTTTGATTCACAAAAAAATAATACAAAATAATATAGTGTTGTTAACCCTTTCCATGCGATTTTTATTTTTTATTAAATAATCGTATTTGCTACGCCGATTTTATGCATTTGTACCCCCACAACTAATCGATCGACTAACGAAAAACTAATGATCCTCTGCTGCCCACTGACGGCTCGTTGGAAAGCTTATTTAAAGAGCTTGCAATGAGCGATTAAAAAAAATGTTTATTTTAAAAGTGGTGGTCTGAGTCACAAACCGAGTGAAAAAGGCATTTTTTTTTCTTGGGAGTTGAAACTTCAAACCGTGATAAAAACATAGAAATATTCGCTAAATCATTTACTGTTACCGCTTCATGGTTGGCAAACAATAGCATAATATTGCTGTAGCAATTTCGTGATCTAACTCAAAATACTTTGGTAGATGGAAGGGATAATATGTCTTCTATTACCACCCAAAAAACACCGAAATTTGCATAAATTTCAAAAACACTCTCTCGTTCCGCTGCAAATAAAATTCCCGTCGTAAACGAAAGCGAGATTTACCGTCGCTTATGTTAATCTCGAAGAAGACTTCTTATCAATAAACTAAAACCCGGAAAAACTAGACCAAAACAGTTTGTGACCGATTGCTAAATAAAACAGTGGAGTACATCAACGTACCCGCCGCAATCTAGCGACTTTTGTCGTTGGTACGTATATGTGCCCACCGCACGGAAAGGGTTAATAACTATTCATTCATTTGCTTAATTCATTTGGCTCTATGTACTAACTTGTTAACACACTTGTCAATACCCATCATGCTGGATGTATTTACAGGTTCAAATTCAATGAACATGGATGTGTGCAAGAAAGCTGCCTAACTTCTTGAAGTCACCGCAGTTGTTGACACAAGTCACGGACATTTTTTCAAATTTCTCTTAATTTCCGTGTGAATCACTGTTACCCACAATGCGATTGGTTATTGGATCTTAGGGATCATGCATTTGAGCATTGCTCTCTTGTTTAATAATAAAATTTAAGACCAGAATATATATGTTTGAATTTCTTAGTACTCTTGTGTAGATTTACTTTGAATCACAATTTGTAAGTCAAGGTTTTGTTTGCTCTCCTGATTTCATAATCAGTTTTTATTTATTTGTTTTGATCAATCATCTTATTGCCTTTTATGCTGATTATAAAGTCGAAATAAACTTATCTTATCTCATCTCAATAAGCCAAGTTGGACCCACCTCTTGCTGTTTCATCATTAACATGAATTGTTGCTGCATCATGTTTTGTTGCTGTGACATTGGATCCATTGCTGATGATGACATCATGCCAATTGATGACGGCATCATTGATTGTTGCATTGGCATGCCTTAATAAAACATAATTTAAATAATATGGTACATGAATGTAGTAATAAGCTGCAACAATATAACTGATATTTATTTATTAACCCTAAAGCGAATGGTCAACATATTTTTAATACTTTCGCTTGTTTGTAATGCACTGATGTCAACTTGCCAACAGACAAGTCAGATAGCTAGTCATTGGACAAAAAATGTATATCAAACGGTCAATTATACTTAGCAATACTAGTATTGTTGGACTAGAACGAACGGGAAGTCACAAAATCAATCCAATGTTTCCAAACCTTGCATTGGCATCATTGGAGGCTGCATCATCATCTGGGGTTGTTGCATCATAGGAGGCTGCATCATCATCTGAGGCTGCTGCATCATTTGTGGTTGCATCATTGGCATCATTTGTTGCTGCGGCATCATTTGTTGCTGCGGCATCATCTGTTGCTGCGGCATCATATTATATCCACCTAAGAATGTTACCGGTATAAAATGTAGAAGACATATTTAAAATCAAGGCAAAATAATTAAAAATATCTTACTAAAATACTCATAAAAATGTAGTAATTGTAATAATATTGTACTTGAATTTAACATGAAATGGTTTTCTCTAGGATTTGCTTATAGCAGAAAGGTACATCTGCACAGAAAAGTTGGTTTTGGCGAAACCTTTTGACGAGATTTCACACTATGACTTTTCGACACTATGCACTTTTTAATGAAAATTGATGTATCCCAACTTCAAAGAGGATAATTTACTGATCCCGAGGCATTAGTTGTGAATTGCACCTCACGTTGATTAGTATAATCGAAATATGATTTTATAAAAATTTGAGTCAATTCTATGCAATGTGAAGGAAACTATATAAAATATTCTTACCCATCCCCATGGAGTTCATCATTTTTCCGCCTCCTTTCATTCTTCTGTCGAGGTCGTTGACATCCCTTGTTGATAGACCATCCTATGGAATTGACAAGAAATTTAACTTTTGAGATTGATGGACCTCTTGTCTGGTTAAAATTGCTGAACACGTTTTGACACGTTTGAACTCTTTGACTAGTTTAACTTGAAATATTTTGCATAAAACTATTACGTACTGTCAAGCAAAACAGTACTTTTGTCAATAATAAAGAAATATAATCTGTAGCTTATCTACATGTGATGTTTTGTGATCATGTTAATTGTTAAGCAAATTCTGGGAATGATCTCAACTGTGAATTTGGCTGTGGGTATTTCTAAAATAATATTTTGAAATAAAATACTTGTTAATAAACCAGATTCATTTATAATAAAAAATATAGTTTGTTTAACTTTTTAGTTTTCTGCATGGATAACGGTAGGTGAAATATGAACACTGGCAATAGCGAAAACAATTGAGAACCACTTTGGTGAATTCATATAAAAGGCCAGAAAATTAATTGAATAATCTAACGAAACTGCTTTTTCATTATCATAGATCTGTTGATTCATAATAAAAAGTGTGTAATTTACAAAACATCCAAAAAGTGGCTCATCTGACATAACAGATTAATTTTGAATAAGGTATAAACTCAAATATTGTCTTTGAAAAGGTTTTGTTTCTACGTAACAATTGAATAGATTTAGCTAATATTTAACTAATAAAATTCTGAATCCTCTTTGTTTTAAAATTGTGACAAGAGTATAAAGGTAAATATAGCTAATGCGATTCAGTTGAATAAACAGTGATATCATTGTTTAGGTATTTCAAATAACTTATTTTATATTCAAAATAATGAATGATTTGCCATGACCCGTAAAATCAGTGCTCAGCTAACTTTATGTACTACTGGGCCAAATATGCACTCGACGGTAGCATGTGGCCCACATTAATTTCCGCCTATAAACAATTGCAGCTCCTCCCGCAACTCCTATTTCCGTGTTAATTACAACTAACGGTAGGCCTGTTCACATGTAAATGACATACAACCCACATGTGCTTTTGCCCATGCTAATTAATATAAAACAAAGACCGTGCAAGAGCATTTTTGTTTTTATAAATTAAAAGTGAGATCATGTGAGGGCTACAAAAATTTGGGCCTCATTTGGTTGACCACCGCATTAAATGTTCAATGAACCAAATTCTCATATTCACAGTAACTGAAGTGATTTTTCAATTATGAATGAATTATTCCATGACCAACCGATTTAAAACTGGCTGCAGTTTTATATACCGATATTAAAACTTACATGCTGAGGTCCACGAGGCAGTCTCAGATTTGGAGGTCCATATGAAAAGTTTGAAGAATGCGATGCTGAAAGAAAATTCAAAAATAATTAATATAATAAATACTTATTTTATGCACAATTGAAATGTTATTTTATTTAACATACGATTGACATGAGGATTCATCCGCCCTTCGGGTGGTTCCATTCTCTGTTCATTTCCTGAAAAATGAAAAAAATTTTGTGACCAATAATTTACTTTTTTTTTTATGTTTAACCAATTTCAGGTAGGATTAATCAAGGGAATGGCAGAACTAGTTTCCAAGTTCATCAAATTATATGAATATTAAAATATTCTAATAAAAGCTTTTATATTTTCAAGATTTTTTTCAATCCAATTACGAGGATATTTCAGATTTCAAAATTAAAAATTTATACAGTTTATATATTGAAACAATTCAAGATTTGAATGAGAACTCTTTCCTAAAATTTCATTTTTTTTCAATATTTGAATATTTTGGAGGTTTGAATCTAAAGCATAACATAGACATGATCAAGTAATACCGGTAATAGATTATTTTGGTACTCTTGAAGTATGCGCACCAAGATGGCGCACAACCTGAACCATTACCCGGTAGACAACCTGAGTTCAGGTTGTGCGCCATCTTGGTGCACATACTTTGGAGGTACATTATTTTTTTATTATTCAGGATCCTTTTTACTCAACAAAATTTTTATTACCAGCATGTTCACTTCTTGGTGACGACGATTTTCTAGGTTTTTCAAAATGTAAAAATTCACTAGGATCAAATGCTGGATTGCTAAAACAAAAAAGAGAAGTTAAAAATATTATACCGAATTGATATTTAACCTATATAAATATAGCCTGAATAATATATTTTAGTGGCAGACAAACGGAAGAAATACTAAGCCTCGTGGTGGCATTTACCACTCATAGCTATCAAAAAAGCTAGCAAAAGCTGAACATATATTTGTACAGTATATTTGTTTGTCGGTGAAATTGTTATATTCGTTAATAATTAATACGTAATGAATCATGACATTGTTTGTGTGAATAGGTTGAGTTATAAAATTTATCACAAGAAGAGGAAAGTCAATCATATTTCAATCATATCGACGGCCTCTCGTTCGATTACCAGTCACATTGGGTATGGGCTTGATTAACCAGTTAGGTAATTATTTTGATGGACAGACTTGATGGCAGAGCAAACCGTAACTGATCAGCGCTTACGTCAACCTTTCTTTAGCAGTAAAGTGTCCGGCAGTCCTCTAGCACATAATTATAACACACAGAATTCGAAACAGCAAACCCACACAGGGTAATCACAGTATCGGTGGGATGCATGTTTCTAATGCTAAGCACAATGTGCCAAGTTGATACCATATGAAAAAAGTAGTTTCTAGTTACATGCTGAATTGCAAAATTGGACTGTATAATAAATAACCAACCTCCCTGATCTGCTCCGATAAAAAAGAAACTCATGTGGGGGAGACTCAAGTTCAGGAAACATTTCCAAATGTGAGAAAAGATCCAAAATATATTCATGTCCCGATACTTCTATCATTGCACCATCTTGCTGTTCCAAAACCAAACTCCATCCTTGCACATTGAATCCAATGCTTTGAAAATATAAACAAAATTAATCAGATTTGTGAATGAATATCAAGAGTCAAATATAACACTCAAAAATTTTGTAACACAATGCACCCAGAAAGAAGCAAAAGTATTACAAAAAAAAGATGTGATATATATCTTATAAAAGAAGTGGCAAAAACATTGCTGAATCAAATGGCATATCAGTCAGTCTTTCCCATAGTTACCATTCCAATTTTCAAGTTTGATATGGCTTTATTTTAGCCTGTTCCAATGCCAGAAAAAACATGGGTGAAGAAAGCCGTGACAACCAAAAATTACAGGTAACGTCAGGAATTCAACATTCCTATTGAAAATATTCATCACCCATGATCATTTCTTGTACTGCCTTATCAGAACATAAACTATGCCAATTATTGTTTCAGACAAATATATATGTCAAAATAAAACAAGGGTTTTACCTAGATTCTACTGCTCTGTTAGCGACATCCTCAGCAGTTGTCCATGAATTGATTTCAATCAGAACTGACTTATCTGCATGTAATAATAATAAAGGAAAATAAAACAAACTTCTGGTGAACAGCATTCGATAATTTGGGTATATATTGTTTCTTATATAACAAAATTGTTCTGATGCATGATGACATGATTAAGTTAATATTTGTTGAATGCTTATTTGACAAACTTTACATAAATTTGAATAACCGGGTATAGAAATAGCTAAGGAAATAACTGTCACTTTATTGACCAAGATGATGGAGAAAACTGTGATTGAGAAAATGATTACATGGAGCACTCTGCAATGAAAATCGAGTCTACTATACTACTAGTCAACTATTTTCTCGGTATTCTTGAGGTATGCGCACCAAGATGTCGCACAACCTGAACCCTAACCTGGTACACAACTTGAGTTCAGGTTGTGCGCCATCTTGGTGCACATACTTCAGAAGGTCCATTTTCTCATTATTAGAAAACAAAGGCTCTACTAGGGAAACATTTGAAAAAATTTTGGAATATTTCGCAAATCAATCACCTTTACCCATATTGATTTCCACAAAATAGTAAACTAAAAAAGCTTGTATTCCTATTATTCGGGGAAATTCAAAACTAACATAGAAGCTTCCGCTGGTATCCTACTTATGCAATTCTATATATTTATTGAATTATCTTGAAGCTCAACTGAAAAAGCTGAGAAACAACATTTAAATTTGGTTTTTGTTTCTTACCATCTGGTAGATGTATTTCAAGAGCCATATTGCGACATTCATGATTTGCCATCCATTCCATAACACACGGAGGAAAAAGTCTGCTCTCAAGTAATGTGCGACTAGCAGGTATTCTCAATAATTTTTTCTGTATATGGCCACAGTAGTCATCAACTCCATGATCAGAAGCATACCTATATAAATAAAGATTGAATGTTGTGAAACTCTCAGACATTTCAAAGCTCAAATATTTCTCAATTATATTTAACATTCTCATCAACATACCTTTTTGCACAATAATTGTTATACCAAGGAAAAAAATATAGAGTTGCTTTAAATTATTATAAAAACTGTCAGTCTGCTTGTGATCCAATTCTCCATTCAGATCTTTTATTCATTAAACATATATACAACATAGAGAACAATTCGCTGAGAAATATTCACATTGTTCCAATATCTCAACAAAAACAGCACTATGTCAGAATTAGTGTCAAAGCCGCAGTAAAAGTTTTGACTAGTTTTCAAATTAAAAACCATATATGAATATTAGCAGTAGAATAAATAAGTTACTTGAGTAAATAAGAATGCAGAGAGGGAGATGGAATGATGCATGACACACAATGAGAAAGTAAAGCCCAAAGTCGTTTCTTGTGAAAATCATTGTAATTATTCCAGGTTAGTGATGCTATCTGAGAAAGAACTTCATCACGAAAGCGGTAGTTCGCAAGTACCTGTAAATATATCATATATATTTATTTAGTTTTTTCTGTGCTATAGTAAATAAGCATATTCCCGGGATGTCGTGATAATGAGCGAACCCGGTCTTGAGCTGACAACTAGTGTTATACTTGGCATTTCAAAAGGTATATTATATTATATTCATGTAAATCATGTCATTATAACGTAGCCTACTTAGGGTCATGCATTAGTAAATGTAAGGCATAGTTATAGGTTAAAATGAAGGGACATGCAAGTTAGCAAGTTCGATACAAATAAGAACCTCTTCCTAAAATTTTAAATCAAACCAATTTGTTGTAGAACCTTCGAAAATCAATTGATAGAATATTAATTTCAAAACTAAAAACATATTGTGACTCTTATTTTATGACTGCTAAAGCTCCCACGCCCAACAGAATATTAATATTACATACATGTAGAAGAAACACTAATGATACAAAAAATGAAAATACTGACCAGAGTAACAATGTAGTCACAATATAGTTTTCCATGAGCTCCATTCAAATTGCTATCAATCATATATCTCAAAATCTGTAAATAAAAGAAAGTGAGTAATACTTATTCATATACCATCGATATTTACTGTAACAATAGTTTGTCAAAGACAGGAAACATCTTGTTTGAAAGGCTACGTTCATTAGAAAAATCAAATAAAGAACCAATTATAGCATTCATCGGAGTTCAACATATACCTACCTGATTTGATTTAATTCAAAATTCAGAAATTGGCATGTATGTATGTGTGTGCACAAATATTTTTTATCAAAACTAGAAATAAAACAATTGGACAATGTCACCCTTTACATCTAAAGTTATTATGATGTCACTATTTATTATTTTGACTACCACCTCTTCACAACGCATATTCGTTTTTATATAAATTTAGCGCTCACCAGCCTGTTCAACATTGCAGCTTGTTTTACATCTTTGTCATCCACAGTTTTGAGGAGTGAGCTTCTGAGTGGAGTCGACAGTGCCCCCCACTGTGAAGGCACCTAAGATGAACAAAAAAAATAGTTCTTTTATGAGGAGTTTCGCACCTTTACTCCAAACAAGTCTCTGTACAAGTAGCCACTGACACGCAAAAGAAGCTACTGTTTTTGAAATTACTTTCCGGTCCAATTTTGACTATTCAATTTAATATATCCGAGATGAGGCGTGGGCTTAGGGTATGAACCTAAGACCTTCTACTTACAAATTAACATAGTAAGGTTCAACACTGATCAATAAGTTATTGTGGATGCATCATAGTAAAAATGATGTTAAATTTTGAGAAAAATATCAAATGGACAAAACATAAAAATATAGGAAATAATGAAGAAGGACTGCTTGGATTAAAAATGCCCCAACATTATGTAAGTAACTATTAGGTTTGAGACAAACATGAAGAATTCCACAGTAATGATTACAATCAAGTTGACATAATATTTGCCATTTTCAATGGGTCTTCAGAAACATCAGTAATTCATTCACATACAAATAAAAATGCGAAGAATGTAAAATATAAATGCACTAAATCTTAACGAAAATTTGATTCATAAATAAATTTGGTTCAAAATATTTTTTAATGATATTTCATGGGTTTGTGCAAGTATGCTAAAAATGAAGTTTTGAACAGTCACTGCTCATTCCAACCCCATCACATATAAATTACAAAGGTGTTGCTAATTACCAAGTGTTAAGTTTCAATCAAATAGAATTTAACATTAAATATTGTTTCTTCACTTTAATAAAATGACAAAATAAATGATGAAACAAAAAAGATTTTTCATGAAACTCAATTTAATTATAAACCAACCATACATAATTATTTCAGTTTTGAAAAATCTTACCCTGAATTGTTTTCCAACATACTGAGAAAATGGAAATCTGTCAATATTTGCAGGAAGTTCTGGGCATTCATCATCTGGTATTGTGCGTGTTTTAGCACCTTCTACATTTCGTTGTGGCGTGTGTATGGCTTGAAAACCTTTAGAAAGAGGAATATTTCTAGTCAATCAATTTGCAATATTTACACACACAACACGTTCTGATTATATGTGTGGCATCTGTAGTCAAAGTTGGCATTTGATCTATGGCAATAGCATACATATGTCTGCTCATATAAAGAGGTGTAGGTGGCACCCCTATAGAAAAATAATATAAATTTGAATAACAAAATAAACGAATGAAGCGTTATATAATTGATAACAAGCCGATTAAGTTCTTCCATTGAAAGTAAGATTGTATTGTATTTGTTAATTAAATTTCGTATTCTATTGGAAGTACAAACAGAATAATGAAATAATGAAACAAAAGTGGAATTTTGAAACTTAGATTTATTACGTAATACGTGCATCGACTTCTCTTTTTAATAATTTGAACAACGCGACCCGGGACCGTCGGCTTATCTTGTGCTGTTGTGTCTCATCACGACAGAGTTTTAAATTAGAGCAATTTATGGCGACTTTTATTTGTAATATTGGACAGTGGGCACCAATGGTATATCTGTTAATTTGTGATTTTTCATGGGTTATAAATACGAATTTAATTAAAAAACAATTAGTCATAAATACCGTTGGATTTATCCAGAAGCGATGCCAGTTGTGGCGGAATCGGTAAATCTCGTAACTCCATATTTTCCAGATTATAATTCCTTTTCTTTTTTAAATCGCTGGCTATCGTTAAAAGCTAAAACATCACAGTAGTTCACCTCGCACGAAAGTGGAAACGCGTATTCAGCTGTCTCGACTGTGCAATTATTAATGGTTCCTAAGTATATAAAGGCAGACGTAGTTGGAAGAATTCCTTCCAAACATACGGTGGTTAATATTTAACAAGCCATTAATCTCTCTTCAACAATGGGTATACGAAAGAAACTTTCCATTTTGTATCGTGAACATTGTGTAAAATATAACAGGTTATATGGCTTGGATTTACGTATTTATTTCAACAAAATCCACAATATTTACAAAAATGAAGTAGTATTTCAGAGCTTGAAAACGAAAATCGATTGAAAATATTAAGATTTGCCGTCAAATTTAAACAAACTTCACCTCACTTGTGTATCCCGTCGAACTTAGGTTGTTTCTACTGGGAATGCATCGTCAAACGGATTGGGATGTTATATTATTCTTGTGTGTAATCTTTGATGCTGAATATCAATCGAGCAAATAGTGTGCTAGTTATAACTTTACGATTTTTGCTATCATGCTAATCCGCCATCTAATAACGACAAATTTGTTGGATTTTTTTTGCCATAAATTTCCGTTGATACCAATGCTAAAGATTACTTTCGATTTCGACTGATCGATTGCGAAGCAGTTTTATTCTTGCCAGCAAGTAAGTTGTATAGGTTGACGCTAGTCCAAATAGAATATAGAGTTGTCTAAGTGTACGTCAACGATGAGCCATGGATGAATAATACTGGTTTCAAAAAGTGTAGACATACATGCGTCATTTCTGGGAGTGGATAATAAATAGAATGCTATATACAAACAATTTCATACCCTACAAACTAAACAAGCGCGAAGCAACGTACGTTTGCTATGAAATATATTTTAAAGTTAAATCGATGTTAAATATTAACAGAATCGACAACACCCGATGTCACTCCGTCAATTCTACGTTTTCTGAAACTATGTTCTACATATTTCTAATGCAATCATGAGAAACGCAAGGAGTGGTTCACAATTTGTACAGCAATTATTACAAACATATCGTCACGCTAATAACCGAATTGCGTAAGTCATTTTTGGCGATTTTGAGTTTTTTATAAAATAGGTATTTATGTAATGCTGCGCACCTGTCTGTTAACTCAGATTTTATTTTAGGAATTCCGAAACCCATAAAAATGGAGATTTAGTATGACATGCACATTTGTGAAATTGTTTCGTCATAATGAATTATCCTTGTTACCGCAGTACTCTTGTGACGTCACAAAGGCAAAATAACCTCGGCGAGGTATTTTCGAGTTTTTGCATCTCGGATTCTAGCTTAGCGCGTATTAATTTGAATTTTTACTACAGTATAGGAAGATGTACACTTGTGATATTCACTGTCCGAGTCAAATTCCCCTTGGTTGGCTTTTATATTGGGTGCATTGCTGTTTTATTCTTTATATTTAATCTTAGTCCTATTTCGGTGGGTGTGCAGAACGTGTTATATTGATGAAATATATATTTTTAAACATAAAAAATGATGTAATTGAAACTGATTAGCTATTTTGGGGATTAGACATTGTAGATACTGAGAATTACATTCGTTTTTGGAATGTTTAGTTTTCAGGACTGGTGCATATAGTGAAGTTGCAAAATTGCGTATGTCACCAAGTCATAGACACATTTCTGCCTAAGTCACAGTGCGCCATTATGACGTCACTTAACTGCGTCATACAAATTAACTTAAATCCGGCTACGATCAAAAAATTGAACCATGGCAAATTATTGACTCTCAATTGCAACACAAAATCATTAGGAAGTTTTTTACGTTTTTCTCAAAACTGCTAAAAATGACTTACGCAATTCGGTTATTAGCGTGACGATATGTCAGAGAATCTGAATTGCGTGGATAAATCAACGTTGTTACGCCGTAATGTAATGAGGTCGTAATGTAAATTCAGGATAGTTTTTAAAACTATCACAGTTCTTTCATAATTATATGTGGCCAAATCCATGTTTGATATTAAAAAGTTGGACCTCCTGAAGTGGGCGCACCAAAATTGCGCACAACCTGAACGCAGGTTGTGTACCAGGTTAGGGTTCAGGTTGTGCGACATCTTGGTGTGCATAATTCAGGAGTACCAAAAAGTTTCTATGACTACTTTTTGCTACATTAGAACATTATATCAGAACTTTTTTTACTGTCAAGTTCACCCTCCATTATAAAATGTAAAACTTTCATACCGATGATAATTTTGGCAGGGTGAAGTGAATTATTGAAAAAATCGATATATATATCGCAATACGTTGTAGGGGGCAGCAGAGCGAAGCTGTATTTATTATTACATGCGTAGCATGCGTTATTACACATGATGTTTTTCTCGGTGTGTTTTTATCCAATTCAAAGCTGACCTTATGTGTTTAGTGTTGTGTGACTGACTGTTGTGATGGTGAGTCAACAATGGATGTTTCACCGACCGTTGACCCCAGAAAAATTCTTCGTATATTTTACAATTGTAACATTTCTGGTGCTCATTTTAAGGGTGGTTTCGCGAGTTACCGCCTCAAACTGGTTTATATGTTTCAAACAATCATTTAAATTCAAATTATTCAACCCTGTTATTAAAATTACTGGTAGAAAAGTTAGCCTAGTACTCTATCACAGCTATTTCGCGACTAATTTTTGATAACGGCAATTGAAGAGGACAGAATAATCATTTTGATTGAGAAAATCTGTCTGTGCGGCTGCTAAAACGTCTACGTGGAAACAGAGATTTTTCAAAAAAACCTAAAGATCTTCTTGCTTCATTGGTTGAAGTGTTTTTCCAACTTTGTGCATTGCATATTGTATATTACTCGCAATTGGCTAATCGATTGCTAGGTACAAACGATCTTTCTTAAAATTTAAACAGTTGAAAAAATATTTGAGGTCTTCGATGTCAAATTAGCGACTGTCAATTTATCTTTGATTAGCATCGAAAAGAAATTGCTGATGAGCGAGGTGAAAAAGGCTGTCGTCCAGACATTTGTTGACAGCAAGTAGCAATTGGACATAGAGATAAGTGACTTTCTTTTTTTTAACAAATGACTCTTATACATGTGAGTTTGTTGCTTATTTTGATGATTTATTTGATAAAACAAATCTTTCTATCTTACTTGGCCTTTATTTTATTTACTCCCATGTATAACGACATCTATAATCTATTTATCCCCCGAATTATTTTTGAAGTTAGGTATAAGGGGAACGGAAACTCGCCCCGGGCAGCAGAAGAGTTTGACACGCCTCCGACCGTAATATAGTCAGTAAATGGATGCCGGCTTTTAACCCCTAATGCCAAATGGAATTCCTTACACAAGTGTCATTTTTTTTTCACAATAGAATAGCGTCCTAATGGAAAGTATAAAAATAAATATATACCAAATATGCGTAAATGAGATATTTTGATATTCACCTCTATGCACTAGATTAGAATACGTGATCTGTTTGCTATGCCGTTGGCGTGGCTTCATCCACATTCCACAATCCAAGTTCACGTAACAATTTATAACGTGGTTCTCACTAAATTTAAACTATCCCATATTCTTCCCTATTTCTCATGATTAATAGGAAATACTTAATGAAAAATACTTCAAATTTTATATTCTAAAACGTGGAACATACATCGAGGAAACATACATTGTGATTGTTGCGTCAACGGAATTCATGGCTGTTTTGCAATTCTTACGAAAAAGTGCTAAGAAACTCCAAAAACACCGACATGTAGCACACGTGAGCTTTGCTCCGATATTGATCTTACATTATGTATGCTCATGTTGCTACGCCGTAATTTGCGAACTTTATACTCAATTGTCTCGTACACACCTACTACAGCAAAATGATGCTACTGGTGGTGACTGACGGACAGGTTTAAATAATCAACTTAAGTAGATTTGCCATTACATAACAAATCGCATAAGCTTGCTATCATTGAAACTGGTTACTATTAGTGTTAATAATGATGTTTTTTGGTCAAAGTTTTTTATAAGTATTATTAGAGAACTTGCTTGCTCGCTAACGGATCATTTTATGTAAATTCAGTCTTTTCTCGTTCCTTTATTGACCGATTTATAATGTTTTGTGTGCCTCCGTCGTTTACTAACATTTGGATATTTGAATCTGTATTCGCTTTTATAAGAAACTTGGGCGGGACTTTCGAGGTCGCGCGGGGGAAACGAGCAAAAACAGTTCTTGCCAGTGCGGGGAACCACCAACAACCAGTGGGGAATCCTGGCGTAACGAGGCGCGTGACGTATCATATTCATCCGCCACAATAAGTCATTTCACGTTAGCGCATTTATAAAAATCTAGGAAGTTACAATCGAAAATAATTTAGTTGCAAATTATATTGAAGTATTTTATGTGAAATAGGGTCAAAATTTTAGCTTTTAGTTAATATTTATAATATATCGTTTCTAAAAATAGTTCAAATCCTCTGTAGTAAAGAGTCTTTTTTTTCGCCGCCCAGTGTTTCACCCTGACGAGTTTACAAGTTTCGGTTGTTTTTTTGGTGATGTTTTTAGCGCAAAATGGAGATATGAGAAAGGAGAACAGGAACAATTGTTTTTAAGGATTTGCACGTGTTATTGTTTGAATTAATGGCACGTGATAGGATATTTAATAATAAACAATTTTTATGTTATTTTATACAGTTTGTGGCTTTTTGCTGATAAAGAATTACCGATTGACGTTGAGTCGTAAGTTGAAAGCAAGCGATTTCTGAATTTTGTAAAAAAAATTGGCAATGAATGAAAGCAAAGTTTTAGAAGGAGATGCAAAAACAGCTCTACCGCCCGATGATGACGATTTTGAACCAACGGCAGATATGATGGTTCATGATTTTGATGATGAAACAACTTTAAATGAGGATGATGATGATGATGATGATATAGAAACTAATGAAGATGAGCTGGCCGATTTAGCAAAAGAGGGGGAAATGCCACTGGAACAATTATTGGCTTTATATTATAGTGGTGGGGATGGGGGTGACGGTAGTCCAATTAATGAGAAAGAGAAAAATATTGGTCAAAATAGTCAAGATGAAGTGGCAGGCGATGATGATGATGATGATGAGGCGCCAAAACGAAGTTTGCGATCAACATCAGCGCTTTTGGATCGTAATGGATCTGGTTCAGATTCTGATCCAGATTTCGATGAAACCGCAGTTTTTCATGAAGAAGAACATAAAAAGCCGAGGATAGGGGAAGAATATCAGGTAGCTGAAATACCCATTGTCATTTCCCGTGCTGATGACAAATATACGCATATTGATGAACAAGTATGGGTACCATGGATTTTGCCTGAGGATGCCGTTGAACAATATTTAAAGGAAATTGCTGTGAACTGCGGATGTTCATCATCAGCTAATAAGGATGATGTGTCTTTTATTCAAGATAATGAAGATGCATTGTTTCTTTTATCTCAGACAAATAATGACCCTGAGGAAGCCCTCAAAAGATTTAAATCTCGGCCAAATGCATTGAAAAATGAAGTAAATGTTTGGTCCGAAGAAGAGTGTAAACAATTTGAAGATGGCTTAACAGTGTATGGAAAAGACTTTTTTATGATACATTTAAACAAAGTACGAACAAAATCAGTTCGTGACATTGTTAAATTTTATTATATATGGAAAAAATCAGAAAGGTATGATCAATTCACTGCCAAAACCAGACTGGGAAAAAAGAAAGAAAACATGCAAGCCAGTGTTACGGATTACATGGATCGACTTCTAGACGAAACTGACCATGTTGGATCATCTTCGCTTTTGAGCCAAGCAGGCGGAAATTTGCTTAAATATTACACAACTGCTCATAGTATTGCTCTGATGGAACATTTAAAACAGTTAGAAGCTGAAAAAGCTTCAAAGAATAACACTGATACTGCTTATATATCATCAAGCAATGATGTTGATATCCAAAATAAAACTCTACTTAACAGTGCAGTATCAACTTCTTCTACTAACAACACACAACAAATTTATGTAAATAATAGTAACAATAATAACCATAATTCTCAACCAGAAATTGTCGAAATTCATAATAACAGTGACCCGGTAGAGACATCCTCGCCTAGTAGCAAAGATTGACTAAGTGCATTGTAATAGGGATCTAGTCAATGTGTCAAAATTGATACTCAATTTTTTACGATTGATTTCAATTCTTTATATCAGTTATACAGGTTCATTCTGTAAAACGCTTTATCTTGAAATGTTATTTGAAGCAAAAGAACTTCATTCTTTTTCAAAATAGACACTCGGCACTAGTAATTATGTTGCGGAGAAATGATATATGCTAAAATTTTTTACCAAGTTATCATGGCACTGGAAATATGGAATCAATTTTACTAATAACAAACTGGACAGTTGTTTTTATTGATAACTGGTTTTCTAATTTTTGTTTTGAAATTTCATACTTTTGCTACAGCATCGATAATCAGCATCTGAAAATTTACTAGTCAAATAATTGGATAATACTGCTAATATCAAGAAAACTGCAGTATTAAGTGAAACAAACAAACCATATACAACCATATTTTTTGTAACAGACTTTTTATGTTTGTTGGTATCATTCACACCATAGTAAAGAATATTTTAATGGAATATCATATTAGGCGATAAATCAGATGACATGTTTCAATTAATAATGTCTGTCCTCAACCGTTCATATAAACAAGGAAAATCAATTTATGCTGTTATTAATATTTATGCCACAGCGTTATTATGTTACCATTATATAGACTAGTTGACTATTTGGCCTAGTTGCGGAGCGCATTGTTAAGTAACCACTAGGTGGTTCCATCTATGATTTTGGAAAATGACAAATTTTAATGGTGGTTATTATTGGTTTTGAAGGAGAAATTCATACTAAATTCTGAAATTTATCAATTCACTATTAAAATTGATTCTTTTTCAGTTTTTGGATACCCAGGGGCTGCCTTTTTAATGTTCTAAGCATTTTTTTGCTATAAGTTACATTTTTTCCGTTTTTTCATCTTGTTTACTTTTGGTGACAACTGACATTTTTTCTATTTTATACAATTTTGTCACATGATTTTGTTTATCGTTTTCACAAGATTATGAGTAATAATATCTCACTCGTAATTAATAACAACTGGGGATTTTCATTACTTGGGTTGTGATTTGGAATGTTCGAAGCATTAGGTTTAAGTGAAATCCAGTGCTTATGCGATTTAGAAAAGACCTGAAAATTCAAATAAATTTTGTTTGTGGCCTGGTTTAGAGTGAAAGGTCTATAAAAAAATCTTTTTGAATATTGACTATTTGATATGGATATCCTCATAATTATATTACAATGGCATTTTTTGTTACTCATATTATGTTAGACAGTGTTTGATTTGAACCGAATCATACATGGGAGAATGTTGAACAATTCACATGTTTCTGTGCTTCATCTTTCATTTTTATCTGACCATACATGATGACATTATGATACATTAGGGCTCAGTCTACTTCAGTACTCTATGACTTACCTATATCAAAACAGGAAAAATTAAGTGACAAATAGTATCACTGACACGATTATTCTGACCAGTCACACTTCAATGGTTCTTTGTGGTGTATCTGATACTTACATGTTAGGATGGAATTATTCTGACCTTCTGACCAGTCACACTTCAATGACTCTTTGTGGCTGCATCTGATACTTACCTGTTAAGATAGGATCATTCTGACCAGTCATACTTCAGTGAATATTTGGGGTTTATTCAATACCTTCCTGGTAGGATGGGATTATTCTGACCAGTCACACTTCAATGATTATTTGAGGCATGGCTGATTTATGTGTTAGGATGGGATTATTCTGACCAGTCACACTTCAATGAATATTTGAGGTATGACTGATTTATGTGTTAGGATGGGATTATTCTGACCAGTCGCACTTCAATGATTCTTCGTTAAGTCTGAAAGTACTGAAGTAGATCAGACCTTTGATTGTACTTTTTTAACAATAGAAATAATCTCATTTGTCTTCATATTTTTTTTCTAGTTAAAAATATTTCACATCCCACGATCAAAATCCATGCTTCAAGGTATGGAGCACTCTCCATCAAGATTGCTAGCTTATAAAGAGCATCAACATAAAAATCAAGTTGGAGCATCAATGGGGCCAGGAATAAACTTAACTGCTAAAGATGGATTGTTTATCGCAACAGAATGCCATTTGGCATTGCTGCCAGATGAAGATGGGGATACGTAAGTTATTGTCTATTAGAACAGTGTTTCCCAATGTGTGGGTCGTGACCCACAGGGGATCACCTGAAAATCCTGTTGGGTTACTTGTTTTTCAACAAAAACATAAGGGTTATTGATTCCATTTTCCAGTAATTTTTACTATGTATTTTTCATTCCATTTTGAACTGTTGTTTAATAACAATGTGAATGTGTCAAGTATAGTCTTAACTTTTCAGCGTCAATTTGGGTATGCGTAATTAAAGCCATTCCACGAATATGAAAAAAATGAAAATAATTTCGATTTATATCTGCAGAGCGTTGCATCTAGCTGTTGTACAAAATGATATCGAAGCTTGTAAAAAGGTGCTCAAACTTTTCCATATTGCTGGAAAATCCATTGATGTAAGGAATAACTTACTGCAGGTATGATGTTTTTATATATGGTTTTAATTTTGTACTGACGAGGCTACTATATTCTAATACTTTTTGAGTTTTTTTGAAACTTTGACTCCGTTTATCACCATTGTCCATTGAATTTGAAATTTCAACTCTGATAAGTTTGAAACTCCGATGAGTTAAGAGACTCAAGCTCGTTCTCCGGTACCAATGAAAACTACGAAACTCCGATTCCACAGCCCAATTTTATCCCCCATTATATCTCCAAATAATTTGGTCTACCAACAAAGTTAGCAAAGCTAGTTCTCATCTATCACTGTCCATAACAAACTGTCAAATTTTTTTGTTTTCAGTACAAGTTAGTACATGATCTAAATTCCGATGTTGATTATTTTCAGACGCCACTACATGTTGCCGTTATTACAAATCAAAAAGAAATTGTCAAATTACTGCTAAACCACAAATCGAGTCCTCATAATCCAGACAGATTTGGTTCAACTGCATTTCATCTATGTGCCAAATATAACCATGCTGATTGCCTCATCGAAATTTTACAAAATACAGTAGAGAAAGATCGACATCACCTAAACATTCGTGATTATGAAGGTAGTTTTAATGCATTCCTTCTATTTATAAAGACAGTGAGCCAGCCATAACCGTTCATAACATTGAGTAAGAAAAACTTTTCTGCACTTTCATCCTTTCCTGTTATGACACTTGCTTGTAAAAGGAAACCGCCGAACATTTATTAATAGTATTGTCTCCGCTATGACGTCCCAAGATCATTTTTATTTAATCATTGCAAAGAACTGAATATATCCCCCCCTAAATATTTTAAAAATGCTCACAAATCCCAGAATTGTATATTTTGTTATAGAATACGTCCTCATAATGGGAGAAGGATTTGATCACCCAACACATAATATCATAGTCCTGGTCCACAAAACTAAGCCAGTTATTAGAACCATTAAACAATAATAATAATAATATGCAGGATAACAAATAGCCATTTCAAAGAGGTAAAGCTCATTATAAAGCAAGGCGGTGAAGGGTTTTTTGAGATACTAATTGCTGTAATTTATTATAGTATGAATACTAGATCCTTTGTAGATGCAGAAATTGATTGATTTATACAAGTTAACATTATCATTATTGGCAACATCATCAATATTTCAATTCCGACTCGGGCAGTTTGAAAAGTTTGAATTCGTATCCAAATCTGGATAAAAATGACAAATACAGACTTTTCAGACACACTATCACATCATTAATAATACTGCTTTTAACTGATTTTTCTATATAAATTATTTTTTATGAATTCTTGCCTATTTTACATACGAGACTGCTTCTTATAGTATCTTAGAACATTTTCAATATTTTTAAAAAGCTTTTTTTTTCAGGTCTTACAGCTCTCCATGTTGCTGTCAGGCATGGATCAGTGGCAACATTCAAAGTACTTGTTGCAAATGGGGCTGATATAGATGCAAAAGATAATAAGGGCGGGAGAACACCCTTGATATACGCCATTGAAATGAATGAAAGAAATATTGTAGAGATGTTGTTGGAGGTATTGGTTTTATGGTTCAAATCTATAATTCAAATATTCACATGTTATTTTGTATTGATGTTGTTTTTAGTTATTTGTATAGGTATTAAATGGGGAATTCTGATTTTCAAAAATTGTAATTTTTAAAATTCTCCATAAAATGTGTTTCAATTTAATATCCTTACACATATTGGCTAGCCCAAATTGAACAGATATGCTCTTAATATACTCAACTGAAGGTATGATTTTAGATATTATACTTTACATGATAATTTGAGTAACTGTATAAATATAATGTAACTTCAATATCAGCTATTTTATTGAGAGGCTGACGATTTTTATTTTGTTTAGAATCCTATTTACCCAATTTTTTCAAAGACTTTACTGACCATCTATAAAATGGCACACAAATCATTTGAATTTTTTTTTTATAACCAATTTATTGTCATAAAATAATTTATTTATAAAATTACAGTGTGATGCATCAGTAAGCCAACAGACCTACAGTGGAGATACTGCTTTGCATATTGCGAGTGGAAGAGGGTTGCAAGACATTGTTCGATTGTTATTAAGACGAGGTGCTGACGCGACAATGAAAAATACTCATTTGGAAACTCCACTGTCACTTGCCACATCACCATCAGTATGTTTATTTGTGCATTGTTCATAGTTAAAGGAATTTCCAGGCTCAGATACCGTTTGTGTTAGCTTTGCATTGCTTTGCAGTTGAATTATTCATCTCATACTAATAAGCACTCAGCTTATTATAGAAATTTTTTATTTTCACTTTTTCTCAAAACCAGGCTTCAAACAAGCATCTACTGTTAATAAATAAGCTGTGGAATTTTTTTTTCTCATCACAAATTCCAAATATACGATGTGATAGTGTATTACTTTTTTAGTTTTTTTTGACTAATAAGCCGACGAAAATAAGCTAAGCCGCCTAATAAGCCGACACAAAAAAGCAGCTCATTAGCCGGAAAGTAGATTATTCAACAAAATAACCATTTTTTCTCGATTTGAGCAATTATTCTTAATTCTCTGTCAAAGAACAATTTATAAACTAATTAACGATTGCATTGTTGCCAAGTTATTTTGGCCTTGTTACTTGACAATGACAATGTAATATTTCATTACGGAAGTCTTCCTTTAAGGATGCATGATCATGGTCTCAAATCTATTTTTAAATCCACGACATTTCTGCGGCATTGATTATTTTACTAACTTTATATTCTTGATTAAATTGATTGTTGTACTGTCGATGTTGGTTAAATACAGACAATTTGACACAAGTCAAGATTTTTATGCCTCGCTCAAAGGCTGAGGCATTATTAAAGTCGGTTTTATGATTTTTTTTACAAGTGTAGTATTATGAATATTATAGGTTCTAAAATGTGTTACCAAGATTTTGTTATAGTTTTAAAACAGACGAATTGTTTAAAAATTATTTTCGATGGAATAGTAATTTATAGCATTTTTATATAATTTTAATATGAATTTCCAAAAATATTTGAACAATTTTTTTAAAATTCCTGGTTTTCATCACATTTCACATATATATCTAATAATATTCTGAAATGTTCATGATAATTTTGATTTCCAAAAATTGATTCAATTTGGAATAGTATATCATGAAATCAAGGTGTACCGGTTTGAATAATATATCACAATTTTGTTGTAAATGTATATTATCTGAGATCTAATATTAATTTCAGCGTTTTACTGTAATAAAAATAACTTAATTCTATCTCATTTTCCTACATTCCAAATTTTTTTCTCCTCCCTATCGACAGGTCACAATTTTATGTCGTAGTCGTACACAATTTTGTCGCAAATGTATATTTTCTAACATATGATATTAATTTCAACATTTTATATTTATAAAAAGAACTTTATTCAGTTTCATTTTCTTATATTTCAAACTGTTTTGCTCCTTTTTGACAGGTCACAGATATATTTCGGACACAGTATAATTCAACACATTCACCTGAAGTGAAGCCATTAACAACTGCAGATAGTCAATATGCTTCGTACGTTGCAAGAAATATGTCCGTTCCAATGCCACCGCAATTTTTAAATAGGTTTAGCCATGATAAAGGTAGAAAGTTTTTTTATATATTCATTTAAAAAATTGTTTTTTGATTTGAGATTTTTTCATTGATGCATTTTGGCAGAATTTTTATACCACTATCTGGCTTGCTTTGTTCTGTCTGTTTTTTTTTGTCAGTTCTGTCACTATTTGGCAGTTTTCATAGGTTTCATAGATTATTCATTTCAGGAACTATATTTCAGATAGAAAATCACAACCCATAATTCCACAACCAATCAATATGAATGATATGAAGATGAAAATGAAGCCGATCAAAAGAGAACACAGAGGATTTGAAAAGTAAGAACCAAGTGACCCTTTATGATCAAATATTTTAAATCACCGATCATTTTTACTTTTATTATGATGTTTTTTTACTAGGAGTAGGGGTTATACGAAACTGACTCTCTATATTTTATCTGGGCCTTGACCGGTATGTGTATAATGCAATGATGCTGTAGCGGGAATATGCAAGACTATACCATGTAATTCACCTGCTGCGTACTAACACAAACGTATTTCTGTAATGTTTGGTCTGACTAAAGTTAGACTTCCTCAAGCAGTGTACAACAACAGGACTCTCCAATTATATAATGTATTTTTATCTTTTTTTTTTTCAGTGATGACCAAATACCTGCTAAAAGAATGGCAGAGAATTCGTTACATTCTTCTACAAGTCCCAATACTACTGTTATCATACCATTTCACCAATCCTATCATCCTGTTATGAGTCCAGTTAGATCAAGAGACCAAGGTATGCTTTCTCGTTCTCAATAAATTTTTTAGTATTAGGCTGTTACAGTAACTACGTTTGTGCTCAAGATTATACATCATTATTAAATCGTTTATTCAGAATTTTTATGTAATTGAGAAAAATTTACATTCGACTCCGATTTTGCGTTGTAAAAAATTTTGACTCACGACTGTAACAATGACTTGAAATAAAGTCTAAATTTTTGAAATCTAAAAATTCTGCTTTTACTATTACCTTACGTCCCCACATGTAAGGTGGCTTCTTGTGTGGTGCCTCTCATTTAAAACAAAGATCCATATAATATACCAAAAAATATAATAATGCTTATGATAATCACTCCATTTTATTATTTATTCAGTGATGGTAACCGAGTCGCCCCACCTGTCTCAAGGAATGCCAGTCAAACAAGAATATATTGAGATATTACCTGCTGATTCAACTCCAAATATCCAGTTTGATGCAAGTAAACCAGGTGAAATTGAATTTTATATATATTCCAGGGAAGAGAAGGTTTGTAATATTCCTTATTAGTCTAATCCTGCTATGGACAGCATTCTTTCTGATTTCCAATTTAGTTCAGGCAGTCCCGGGCATTTCCACATTTTTAATACTCACATTTATTGTCTCATAGAGCCAGTTCTCTCTTTATTAAACATTAATTTTATATAAGATTCAATAATTCTATGTTTATGTTTTAATAATTTTAGTAAAAAATCTAGTGATGCACTCAAAATTATCTCCCGCAAGTCTTACACTCTATTATATTAATTTGTTGGCGCTTAACATTTGCATTGATTTTTTTTATCAAGATGATGAAACTCTGAAGAAAGACATGGAAACTGCTGAAGAGGTTTGTTAATTTTCTAATAGATTTTAGTATTTCCAACAAATAGCCTGAAGGTTATCTATGCTTGGAAATCGGAATGTATAGGATCAGCTGTTATTATAACTTTATTAGAAATTCAAATGTTCACAATTGATTTATTGAGTATTATATTTTGTGCCAATTTGGTCTCAGAAATTTAATTATGAGTCATCATTTTGAATAGAATTATTATAAATTCAGTTTTGTAATTTTCTTGAAAAAGCTTTTTGACAATTTTTTTAATTGAGTTCATTTATATATAAATTTGTTAAACACAGTAATTTACTCGTTATTCTTTCATTTTGTAGCATTGTCTGGTATAAAATTATTGTAAATTTAAATCCTGTACTTTGCATAGAACTGTTTAACCCTTTCCATGCGATTTTTATTTTTTATTAAATAATCGTATTTGCTACACCGATTTTATGCATTTGTACCCCCACAAGTAATCGATCGACTAACGAAAAACTAATGATCCTCTGCTGCCCACTGATGGCTCGTTAGAAAGCTTATTTAAAGAGCTTGCAGTTGGCGATTAAAAAAAAAAGTTTTTTTAAAAGTGGTGGTCTGAGTCACAAACCGGATAGAAAAAGGGCATTTTTTTTTCTTGGGAGTTGAAACTTCAAACCATGATAAAAAATGGAAATCTTCGCTAAATCCTTTACTGTTACCGCTTCGTGGTTGGCAAACAATAGCATAATATTGCTGTAGCAATTTCGTGATCTAACTCAAAATACTTTGGTAGATGGAAGGGATAATATGTCTTCTATTACCACCCAAAAAACACCGAAATTTGCATAACTTTCAAAATCACTCCCTCGTTCCGCCGCAAATAAAATTCCCGTCGTAAACGAAAGCGAGATTTACCGTCGCTTGTGTTAATCTCGAAGAAGACTTCTTATCAATAAACTAAAACCCGGAAAAACTAGACCAACAGTTTGTGACCGATTGCTAAATAAAACTATGGGTAACTTGAAGTACCCGCCGCGATCTAGCGAGTTTTGTCGTTGGTACGTATACGTGCCAACCGCACGGAAAGGGTTAATCTATACTTATTTAATAACATTTTTCAGGTTGAAATAACATTAGAAGAAGTAGAAGTTTCATCAGAAGAAGTTGTGCCATCCAAATCAGGTTAGATTTGGTTATGTTAGAGCTAAAGATGATTATCATATTATTGCCAACATCGATTGTCATCATTTTGTTTTGTTTTTTATTGTATATTGTACAAAAGATTCCTTACTGAATGAATTATAACTTTTCGTTTAGATGGGGAAGAAAAAGGAGTAGAAGCATCATATGCTATTGTGAAACAAGATGGATCAAAAACCTCAGGTTTGTAACAGGGTTAATATTTCCATTTTTTAGTAAAAAAATTGATTTTATTAATGAGATGTGGTTATATTTGAAACAAATTATAGACAAAAGTTATAAATTTAATACCTTCTGAAAAATATCGCTGGAGAAAATTCTATAAAATAGCTTTACAGAATTGTAAACCAAAGCTTCTCATTCAGTTACCAGTTCATGTCGGGTATGGAAATAGATAACTACCGGTAGTTATTTGTATCTGATGCATGGTCTTGATGGTGAGGATTACTTGAATCATGGTTACATGAATGATCGTTAGAGATCAAGTTTTCTATATGATTATTATAAAAAAATTAGTAAAATGAACTTGTTATTCAGAGTCAATTACCCGGGCTGAATCACCAGAACCAGTATACACTCATAAACTGATGCAATATAGTACACATAAAAATTCAGTGGATCGAAAACCTAACAACAACACCACTGTTTTGAAGAATGCTCTCGATTCCATTGGAGATTCGAAACCTGTAATAGTACAGAAACAACCACAGGTATATCCATTATATATTGCATAAATCAGGCCTGTTTTATGTATTTTGTATAGTTCACCAGCTCTTGTCATTTTATTGACAACCCAGAACTTTGCTCACAGATGAGTCACCTTTCCAATGGATGTTTTCTCGACCCCTGACCCCAGAAAAAATCTTCCTATACTTCACTATGACCGAAAAAAATCATGCTCATTTTGAAAGTATTTTGGAGTGGTGGCTTTTATGAACTGGTGTAAATATTAAAAATCAGCATTTCTATTAAAAGCATTTAACCGTGTGCCGCCTGCAGTGTGGCGACGACTAATTTTAATCTAGTCTATCACAGCATTTGCGGGACAAATTCTTGATTATTGCGACTAAACTAAAGCTCCCTGGAGAACATAATGACAATTGAGTTATTTGTTTTACAACTAATTCCCGAAAACACAACTGAAAACTGGCAAATAATACGCAAAAGCAACGAAAACGAGGCAATGTTTGTAACCATGCTTGAGTATCTGTCTGAGTAAAACAAGTGTCTAAGCTGTCACATAATTTCCACTTGTTACTTCATTGTTGACTCATTGCTGATTGGCCATTGTTATGGAATTAAACAAAGAAATTGATGCTCGGGGAAACATACATACCACATATATAACCAATATTATAGAATTGCATTGTTACGTCACAAGGGGAAGCTATATCATATCATGACTATAGGCACAATGGTTTGGAGCTTTCTCCACCATCAAAATCGAAAGCCAATAAAACAGCTCGATCATATGGAGAACCACACCCTCTTTTCGCGTTACCAGTAAATATTGGGTATGCGAATAGCTAACCATCGATTCGTTTGCGTGGTCTTGATGGTGGAGAGAGCTATAACCAACCAGCGGTTTCGTGAATCACCCTGCAAGCTTGACAGTCCTCTAGGTGTAACAGAATGCACATTTGATGCTTCAATAACGAAATTTCTAATCTTTTATTTATCCTCAGATTGATGTTGCGACGGCACTCTATCGATCAAATTACAACCTAAATCCAAATTACAAGAATTTTACACCAAGTACATCCCCCATGTTAATCACATCTTCTCAAGAAATCAAGTCAAAGGTGAGATAGCTGGGCTTCTTGACATAATTTTTAATACAAGTAATAATCCTTTTAAGTCATTTAAAACCCATCCCACATGGGAAAAATAAGAATGGTATGAACAAAAAATTTTTAACATTAGCTCTTATGGGAAATGCGGTCCGGAGCATAAAATTGCTTTTTTTATAGTTTTCTGGATATTTAGATATCTAGTGTTTACTTATATTAACGTTTTTTGTGACTACTGCATTTTCGGCTTTTTAATTTTATTCTGTAAAAATCAATAACCATTGCTCTCAAATGCAGAAATCTATTGACAGGAGATGTGCGACTAGTCAAACTGTGTTTGATATTTTATTTGGCTACCATATATGGTACAAATATGTTATTTTGGGTCTTACCCACCAGTTTGAAGTCTTGAGTGTCTGACCTCTGAAGTCTGTGTGTCTGAACTCCGAAGTCTGTGTCTGTATTTCTGAAGTCTGTCTGTACCATTCACATATTTTCCGGAAGAGTCAATAAACATCTATTGCCACTTTAATATTCTAACTATTCCCATACCTGACATTTACTGGTAACCAGACGAGAGGCCACATGGTTAGCTATATGCTTAACATGTTGATGTCGGTAGTGTTGAAATATCGAAGGACGTCAAATCGTCCGAGAAAACGCCAAGAACTTGAGGTCTTATCACCTTTCCTCCCCTGTAATAAATATGAAAATCCTTTGTTTATAGTCCGTTCCGAATAGTCCGCAACCACAACCAGCCGAAGCCAATCTTTACCAATTGGCAAGAGAAGGACTTGCTGTTGCTGCCATGGCTAATTCATCCAATCAAATTCAATCTAACGCCAGGGAATTCGGAATAACTAATTACTTGAAAGCAAGGCCATCTAGACAGGTATGATTATTGATGAATTCGGGTTTGAGGATCTTCTGACAATGAATATATTTATTATTGCGGTATATTTAAGTTGTTTTGAAAATCTTAAAACTTTATTTAAATCAGTAGGCTGGGCCTGGTATATACATGTGGATATTCATGAAGCATTACCGATTAATTGTTTCATTTTTTAGGCCAAGATCAAGGCCGGTACAGAAGAACTCCAAAATCTTGCTCTACAAGGATTGGCAGTTGCAGCTATGAATGGTAAAAATATGACTGAATATAAAATATTGCTTTATATCATTTGTTAAAGAACTTTTACACTAATCTTGATTTTGTTGCGAAAAAATGATTTTACCAATTAACACATTAATTTGCCTCATTAGAATTTTGATTGGAGTTGTCATAAAAAAATTTCGTGTAATTTCATTTGTTGAAAAATTGTGTTACATTCTTTTTGTTTCTTCTTTTTCCAGCTAAATCTGAAGAACTTTTTGGGAAAAAACAGCACTCCGAAGAAAACGAAACTACGACAAATGTTGCTACTGTCCCGAAACACCTCACCCAAGTTTTGACCCCAGTCGTGAAAAAGGGCCAAATGCCCCCCCTTCATCGGTCGAATTCATTACCCCCAAAACATTACTATGACCAAGAAATGAGTTCAAATAACAACATGTTTACTGGTACAAATCCCTCTGGAAGCGTGCAATCCAATCACCATTTGCTAGCATTGGCACATGCAAATGCCCGCAAAGAAAATGTCGGACAAGCGGTGTCTGCAATTTCTATGGGTAGGGCGCAAGGAAATGCAAATCATGGTCCGAAATATCAACCTGGTACGTCGGGCGTCCCAGCGATGATAGACAAAGTTTCTGAAAATACGAAACTCAACTTGCGACAAGCTATCATGGTTAAAAATAATTCTCCATCAATGCCGCAAAAAGGACCAATATTGCCGTCTGTAATTCCTCGGAGAATTGTAACACATCCTATCAAAGTACCGACAGCTATGAACAATAAACCATTGACACCACCAGTGGGGAAATTTCAAGTGCCAAAAAGTCCGTTAGCTGGTGAGTGTTTTTTTTTGAACCTAATTTTTTGGATTGTGGATAATGATATTATATGATGAGAGAATGATTTGGGATTGTATATTTAATATTATACTTATCGTAAATTATAAGTTTAATGTTGTATTTCTTACCTATCGTTGCTCTGAAAAAGTCTCTGTAAGTAGCTACTCAGTAGTAAGGGACTCAGTAGTCAGGTGAAAAATGACAGTTCATACTTATTCATATGATTACCTTTCTCTCTCTTTCAATTGAAACTTTTTTACACAGGTATTCCTCTTGCATCACCAGCTCGTAATATAGTAACAACAACAACAACAACAATGCCTCCCAGCTCTGATCTTGAATCGAAATCAAGCCCTGTCAGCACTATCTCTTCGAAAGTATTAAATATAACAATACCAAGGAAAATAGAAGTACCACCACAAACTCAAAATTCCTCTATCGAGGAAAATATAACAAAAAGCCATATGGTATCATCGACACAAACAGTTTTGACCAATCCAACAATAGTCCCGGTACCTCCACAATATGTTAAAGTGACTAACGCAGCACCTACCAATACCGTTGCTCCATTACAAATGCTGATGAATAAAGGAGTACCGTTATCGTCAAGAAAAACCGAACAACAGACCCTAGTATCAACTGTCGGAATCGCACCGATTGTAGCATCACGAGTGTCAAACCATTCTAGTTTATCAGCATCCTTGCCACAAGAAAATGCGAAAAATATCGCAGTGTCTGGTACTATCACTGCTCCGTCAGTTGTACCCCATATGGTACCGCCAAGTCTTACCTCAACGTCGTATTTAAGTGCCATCGCTGGTAGTTCAGGCGTCACACATTTGCCTGTAGAACTGCAGTCACAGTCTATGATTAACCCTTTAACGAATATAAGCCTAGTTGGTCCGCATGCTGGATCGTACCTGCAGCCTCAAATCGCTTATGCCCCATATGGGAAGGATCTAATTCCTGTGTTAATTCACGGTGGACATGCGGCGGCTTTACAAGCCCAATACGCATTGCAAATGCAAGTGTCACAAGCTGTGAAAAAGGAATCCGCAATTATATCAACAGCGACACCAAGTGTGCAAATTAATCCTGCATATCTGGGCAGCGTAGGGTCGACCAGATTACCTACCCTAGATCCAAATGTTTTAGGTAGGATCCCTATGTCGCTGCATGATGCACAGATGCGAGGTCTGTATCCAATGGCAACACCAGTTTTGGGAGGTCATCATATGGATTTATTGCAACAACAACAATATATTAGACATCTGTATCAACAACAAAGGTAATGGAATTTTCTGAATTAATTTGAATAGATATTAAGAACCAAGAATGGTGCCCTCGGATAGATTTGTACAACATGTTAGGCCTGTTGTAGACTTTATATTGTGGGCTGGACAGTCCAGTACTTAGACCCAAAAATGATAGAGTTCTCAGATTCACTCAGAAACACCTCAAAAATTTAGACATAACTGAATTTTCAGTTTTCATATAAAATGCAACTCTGCGTCGATTTACCATTTTAGATTAATATATTCTTATTGATATTCTTTATGACAAAAGATTTCTACTCATGGAGACTTTCATAATGCATAAGCTAGAAATAATTGTGAAGATAAAAAGTTTCTCATTGGTACAATAAATTGTCTTTCCTACTTTTTCAGTTTATTGCTTCAAAGCCAGAGCAAAGTTCCAATGACAGATATTAACTCGATGTCACCAGCTGTCACAAGTGTGGCACCGGCACAAAAGCCTGTGGCAGCGGTATCTGCAGTCCCAGTACCAAAGCCTGGGAACCATGATCTTAAATACAATACAACAAGAGCCAAGGTAAAAAAAATTCAATTTTAATGAAAATACTGCACATTACTCACAGGTTATTGCCAGGGATTGTATTTGGCGTTGTAAATTCTTGATTTTAGGAATAAATTTGGAATATTTTCATGAGCAAATTTTCCAATTTGGGCATTTTCCAGCTGATGAAATAGACTTTATTTTACTGCTGACACTGTAAAGTGTAGAAAATAAATTTGTTTTATTTGACATAGTAAATTCTTCATTTTAGAAATAATTTCGGAATATTCCCGTCTGACATTTATTTTATTTTAATCATTTCACAGTCAGAAAAAATAGTATATATCAGGAGTGTGCAACCTTTTTTACAAGAGGGACTTATACAAACAACTGCTCTAAATCGCGGGCGGCAGGGCCGCACCGCTATTTAACAAAGGCTTTCTAGTAGTGCATGCACAAAAATTTTGAGTATTGATCTTATGCTATGCGTTGTTCGCTTCACACAAGCTAACTGTTATGGCACTGTAACGTCATAAGCATAGATAATGAATTGGACTCGAGTATATGCTTTGCAATGCAAAGGGAATTACTCTTACATTCCAGATAACGAAACTGAGAAATTTTTTTCGGGCCACAAAATTTTTCCTATTGGGCCGCATTTGGCCCGCGGGCGCAGTTTGCACACCCCACATATATCATTTGTTTCTCTACCTTTGCTATAAAATCTTATATGCCAAAACGACAGGCTTTCCAAAATTCTTATAGTTCAATTTTTACACTTTCTCGTTGTAGATGACAACATCTCCTAATGTTGAGGAGCAACCACTTAATCTCAGTACAAAGAATATTGACCAACCTTTGAATTTGAAGAAAAATTATCCGACTGTAACGCAGAGCTCAAGTTCTATTAGAAGTTCAGTAATAAAGGTGGCATCTTCAGTTCAAAATGAACAACAAAAAATGACAGAGGTATTATTGTTATTTATTATATATCTACAATAGTGAAAACTTGCTTTTTAGGCTTTATTGGACACAATTGGTAGCGTAATTGTTGTTGTTTAAAAAACAAAAATTATTTTTCTTCAACTAATGAACAGATTGACTATAAATTTTCAGTAGTCAAAGATGGAATTATAATTTAAATTTTTTTTTTTATATTTTCCATGGTTCGTGTTACTTAACCTCAAATGTTGCGGGTTTAAATAAATTTTGTTGTCAAGTAGATTGCCTCATCTAAATTGGTGAACATGTCGAATCCGACCGCACCCCTTCCCCCCAAAAAATATGATGCTATTAATTCTGTTAATTTAACCATTACAGGATACTCTAACAATGTCCACCACTGTTCATCAGTTATATCAACAACGACCACAATCCCAGCCGACAAGCATCATGTCCGCACTCGGAGAGCGACCGGTTTATCCCAGTGTTATTCTCCCTCCACCTATTATGTTGCCTGGGACTGTTCCCCAATCTTTACCCTCCGGTTCTGCGTCACTTTTGCCCCCTATACATTATGTCAACTATTTCGGACTTCCTCCGCAGATGTGAAATAATCGCAGCGATGTCCTATTACAGGGGTGCTGAAATATTGTGTATTGAAGTGCGAATGTTTTTTTTTTCCTGTTTCGGATTCGTATGCTTGAATCAGATAGCATTAGATTGATAAGAAAGAAAATGACAGGTGTCTCAAACTTGTGTGAATCTTACACGAATACTTCAACTTTGCCCAAAAAATTTTCTTCATTTTCGTGGGAGTAATTAAGAAATTTGTGGTTGCTGTTTTTTGGGGGGTCACCCTGTCTAAGCTCACTGCTCTATTGATATACTCCGCTTCCATGCTTTGCCCCACATCTGACCCAACTCAGAACATTGGCACAAAAGACATGAAAAAGGGGGACAAGTGAGGCATCTTTGAGCCACTGGAAAAGGACATGTACATTTCGCAAGATATTTTAGGTCTTACATATCAGCTGCATCTTTAGACCCTCATTCTAAGCAAAAAAATGAAAAAAAAATTGTATTATTAACTTAAGTGTTATGGATTTTTTCAAACTTTATATGCAAGCGAAAAATGCATTCATTATTTCTACACAGAGCTTGAAAATTATACAACTTTTGACGATTGACATGCGAATGTCGAATCTAGTGTAGTTTCCTACCTCAAGTACTTCTGGTGGGCGTAGCCCAACAATTTTCACCTATGTCAATCCTAACACCACTTGACTGCGACATCCAAAAATTAGGTCACTACGATGTCACAGTGACATAATAATGCCTTTAAAACTATACGAACTGTCATCCAAGATGCGTAGACAATCACCCGAAATTGAGCAAGCTATCCTTTTGTTTTCTCGTCGCAACGCCATTAGTGAGTTCTTCATCACCGGCCCAGATGCCAACGGGCGATCGTAGTTAATCTTTGGCAAGCTCTATGGCGTGATTGTGATGTTGTAGTGACATGTATGCCGTAGTCAGGTGGGGGACTGAGGGTTATGATTGGCATGTGCAAAAAATGTTATAGAAGTACCCACTAGAAGTACTTGAGGTACAAAACTACACGAGCCCCTAAATGTCTATGTATCATTGTAAAAAGTCTTTGTTTTAGATGATTTCCAATTTATTTCATATAAAATAAGCTAGAAATATTATAATGTCTCGTGAAATTTTATTCTTGTATTGTAAATTTTTATGTTTATGTAATTTGTCATGAATTAGATATATATATCTTATTTTTCTAAATTTCCAAACTGTTTGGTAGATATTCGAACAAAACATTACATAAAACCTAAAAGGGTTACCTTTGTACTGATTGTATTCCGCCTTTTTTGTTTTGTTCTTGCATTCTTTTTGTGCCAACTTGAACCATAAAGTTTATTTGTCTGCTGAACTTGAGGGGCTGACAAGTACGACTTATCTTTCTTTTTTCAGTAAAATTTTTCAGGGATTCTTGATACCACTCGTCAATTTTTAAAATTTTAAATTTGGCGACAATTTAGTAAAATGTCTTAGGCCGACTCACTGAAGGCAAGCATCTGGTTCAGTTGTAGTATTGACTTTTGGAATGTCTGCCTCGCCATGCCTGGAGGTTGAATACCTCTTTGAGTGGCATCTTTGCACTAAGATTTCAATTGACTCGATTTCGCTCAAGTCTTTGCTGAACTTGATAAACTCAATCTGATGCTTTTTGCTCTGAACAAAGCCTTGTACAAGCAGCCACTGATATAAATGTTGGTAGTCACTGTTCATGGAGTGACCAAAATCTTTCTGATTTGGCATTGCTATTCTCACATTTTTAATCTGGCTGAGGTGGTGGCTATGACATTTGAACCTAGTCTAACGCTTTCACCATTAGGACATTGCCCAAGTCAGTTACTTTTTGGGAACTCCAGAATTATGTGTACCAATATGGAGGTAACTAATTTTATTCGCTTACTTTACATCAAGTTGTGTAAAAGGACTGAAACCTATGGGCAGGGGGTATATTCAATTGGCTAACACAGACAGTCCCCGAACTCGTAATATAACTAAAATCGGAATAAAATTATGCCCTAACCTGGTGCACACACTACGGCAGTTCCTTGTTTGTACATATTGAAATATAAGTAACCTCTTAGCTATATTACTTCATTTCAGCTGCATTTAGTAAACATAGAATAGCAGCAAGAACAAATTTACGGTAATCATAAGATAAAATTTTGAATCTAGAATTTTCTAGTCCTCGTAAACTTTTCGTTCATTTTTGATTTGCAGATGTGTATATTTTTCTTTGTACAGTATAATTTTAATAATTTTTGTGCATTCAAAACATGCCAAGAAAAATAGTGGGAACGCTGTATTGTGAAATTTGCATTATTTCTTTCAAAGGAACAGTGGGGTTTAGATATGGTTATTGCATATACAGGATTCCGCGTTTAAGAAAATATCCAAACATAAGTCCAGTGACCAGCTGCAAGCAGGAAAGCTCAGCATTATGCCACGCTACGATAAATGACTTTAGACTATTCTCAAGCTGGTTTTACAATATTCAAACCCTGATTAAACGCTTACCCGCAGATTCACCCAGTGACAGTGTCGTTGTTGATATTGGAAAAAGGAAGTCCGAAAGCTGGTATGATGTATAAAAGTACTAAATAATTTATGGACTGGAGTCGGGGAGTTGTATTTTATCATAAGTGAGAAGCGTCATGATTATCAGAGTACAACAAATGTCTGGTATGAAATACCATTAGCAGATCCTTCAATTGCTGCAATGGGCATTTTCGCCAAGCATCACTTCTTTGCTTATAAGAAATAACCTAATGATTACGATGCAACCACTAATATTATTATCTCAATTATGATTCTTGTATAAAAAAAAAACATGGGTAGGAATTCTAGAAATCATTCTAGCTTTCTGACTACTTTGTTCAAAACGCTCTGGTCCCCCCTTTCAACAACAACCTATAAAATGCAAACACCCATACTGTTACTCAATGAATCAGTATGTACACTCCTCTGTTTTCCATTTCAAGAATCTTCTTTACAGCAGAAGTGTTTTTACTCTCCACAAATGAAATTAAAATCAGAAAAGTTACGTTGTCAATAAATATATGTTCAATTTCCTAAAGAAGATTCCTGACGTGGAGAACAGGATTCTTTTCGGCTGACGCGCTAACTACCGTAACTTTGCTCTTCTTAGATTAGGCTCTGGGATTTGAAACCCAACTTGCAGGGAAGCCACTTACTGTTAGACGCTTTTTATTTCTCCTTAAAACAAAAAACTTTCCAATTAGCACAATTTATTCTCTAAAACAAAAAATTCTACAAAATGTACAAAAAAGTTTTAAAATTCAGACGAAAAGGCACAAAACATCTAAGAAAGGGAATGAAAAATGGCACACAAAAAATATGTACAAAAAAAAGATACCAAACAAACGATTTGTAGCAGCAAAATTGATACTATTGGAATGATCAATAGAATTTAGTGTGGCAGTCAGAACTCGCATAAGTTTGTAGACAAATTTCAACACTACGAATGAACACTAGGATGCAGAAGCAAATATGAAACACCATTTCAGTATATGAATTTTTTAGGAGTTTTGGAAACCAATTAGGATGCTGGTTTAGATGTTGTAAAATGATGTTGACAAAATAAACTAGTGATTATAAAGAGCAAATGCTGCTATGCTTATTCAAGTTACCGGAGTACATGCAGATGCACAATATATAGAGTGAAGGTGGAAGCTCAGAAATCCAATTAGGATTTGAATTTATTTATAAAGTGTTGACAAGTTGAACTCAATCCATGTTAATCAACTTACCAAGTACGTGCACTAATGATAATAAGAAACGGATGGAAGTTTTGCCAATGATTTGAATGTCAACAGAAAGTTTAGAAAGTTGCAAACACAAAAATTTCATAGCTTCATGCCAATTAAGCATTAATTTAGCATCTCAACTCAAAGCCGTTTTTTAACATACTCCACAATTATACACAATTTGAAAAAAATCTTATCATTAATAAATGATATCCTACAAAATTGGTCATTTTCTATGTGAGATTTCTACAATTATCTCAGTGAAAAGATACAACACACACGTCAAAAAAAATGTTAGAGCTTGAAACCAGAAATAATAAAGCCAATCTGAAATTTATTTGTAAGTTGATATAGTCATCAAATAGTTCATGGAGAAGCGATTATTCTACAGTGCAAGCTTTCGTAATATGACTGAACTTCAATGGATGTCTGTCAACTTCCCATGCAGCATTTTTTTATGATTCTGCAGACATGGTTTAAAAGCATCCATCTTGCATTCCCAAGAAGGTAAAGAATTTGTATGATTGGGATGCTGCATGATTTACCAAAGAACCTCAAAAACTTTTACTTTAATTGTGGAATTTCATGAAATCAAAGCACCAATCAGTAGTTGTGATAGGAATAAGCAGCACAATAAGGATTTAATTCATGGTTTCAGTCAGGGATGTACAAAACGAATAGAATATGATCGACAATGGATATATTTAAAATCTCAATATGATAAATTGTGGGTTTTAGTTTAAATTAGTTATATTCAATCCTAGATTTTATGAATAATTCAGAATATTCTAATTTTAAAAATAGGTCCTATAAGTATAACACTGGATAATCTGACAAAAAACATTTTTAGTTTCTGATAACACTTCAAAGGGAAAAACCAATATAACAATCTTCTTGGTGTTGGGAAATCGAATTCGAGAACTAGAGCAAGATTTTCTGTTGAACTGAATTGAAATCATCATCCCTGGTTTTGGTAAACATTAAGAATATTTTCATCAATTTATAAATTGTGAGCTACAAACTCGATATTCAATAGTCAAGTCAAACATTTTTCCATCATTCAAAAATAAAATTAGACAAAACAATCAACTAGTTGATATTCGGGCCCTGCTGGTCTTAAACTAATCATAAATTACATACGGCGGGGCTTCCCAAACTGAAGGTCCCAACCTCGCAGAGGGCCAGCATCGAATTTTAGGGGTCGCAAAAAGTACACCAATATATTTCTTTAGACTTTTGATTCGAAACACAATTATTAAAACTAGTGCAAAACATAAATCTCACAATTTTGAAAGAATGCATAGGACCAAAGAAGCAGCGCGCCGGCATAAAAAAGCCAACTTTGATCTCAAGACTTGAGAAGATGCGCGCTTGCAAACAATGCGGACTTAACAGGGGTCGCAGAAATATTTTATGTTTTGGAAGGGGTCACGAGCTTAAATGTTTGGGAAGCCCTGATATATGGAATGTTAACTTTTCAGATAAAATTTTTAAATCAGTAACACATCCAAAAATACCCATCCCTGATTAAAGCAATTCATGAAATGATGAAAATCAAACAAAAAAAATAACGTTGGAATTCCTCAAAATTCTGACATAATGCTACAAAGCTATGGAGTTCAAAAAATGACGCATTGTTTAAGACAGCTAACGAGTTAGTGCAATGATTGTTTCCAAATTTTCCAAGTTTAGGCATATTCAAAATATTGACGATTGTAAAATGAAATGATTGTGTCACTGATGCCACGAGTTTACACACCTCAGTGATTTTACAAAAAATGAAAATATAAAAAAATAAGGAACGAGTAACAAAAAAAATTCACAGAGAAATTATCCCTACAATGAATCGTAATCATGTTTAAAAAATCGAAATGAATTTATCAATCGAGGATTAATATCATTATGTAGAATCGAAACGAACAAATCAAATCGAAAATGAATGACAATTATTAACAGGGGATAAAATGTAACGTAACCATACATAAACCTGAGATAGATATGGGTTCAAAGGCAGACGATTTAGTTCAAAATCGAGGGGTAAATCTTGTCCCAATTTTAATGCTATCTATGAAGTTTATGTATTAAAACAATCATTGGGGCACCTACCCATCCATACCCCATAGTGACATGCTGATTCGAATATCCTGTGCGGTTGAGCAAAAATTATAAAAAATGGCTTGTTTTCGATTAACAAAACTTTCTTATTTGGCAAAATGACTATAAAGTGAGAACATTTTCAGCACCATTCAGACAAAGTAATAATATTTGTGAAATATTGTGTCTGTCGACAGGTTAAAATTTTGAGACTACATTCAAATACAGGAAAATACAAACTTTAATAATTTAAAATTCCATATCTGGTCCATTTACAACTTAATCCCTAAATCAGTAAAAAAAAATATCAGCACAATGTTGTAGTAAAAATATATTAAGTTAACCGTTATTTCAAACCATAAGGTATGATGATTCAGATTGTCAGCCTGTCAAAAGAGTATTCGTCCAATTTTGGTGAAATTTAAGTTTGAAAAAAAAGGAAAAGTCTTGTCTAGAATCACTCTTAGACCTTGTTATCATGTCAAATAACGTGATTTAATAAACCAAAGTTTAAACAAGAAAATGGATTGCTTCCCAGGGTCAAAGTTCAATCGGGAAGTGGATTGCTTCCCAAGGTCAAAGTTCAAGTAGGGAAAGGATTGCTTCCATCTCCATCATTCTTATCGTAAGGTGATTGCTTGAAATAATTCTTTAATACTTCCCTCATAGCTAACGATTCTTCACTGGCTTCTTTCTGTCTGTATTCCTCTTCTTGTTGAGGAGATATCAATTCCTGAAAGCAAATCAATCAAATAGTAATTAAACAAGAGAGCAGCACTGAAATATATATGAAGTCAAGCATTCTATAATACGTAATATAAAAACGTTCCCAGAATTAAAACAAAACAGCGAAAATTTGGGATACAAACTAGCCCCGTAAGACTCCTTTAGGACAAAAATTTGAAAAAAAACAAAATTTCACCTTCAAGGACTGAAAAATTTAAAATTGATTATCTAGTTGTTACATAGAAAGACATATTTTTTCACAAAAATTTCAGTGGGTGCCCACAACTTTGTTTAAATTTGAGTCTCCTTCACTTTTTACTGAGTGCGCATGACTTCGACCAGTGTTTGATAAAAGGTCCTAAATCCAGGGTCGCCGAGTCAAGTAGAGTAGCAGGTCATCCTCGAGTTGAGTCAATCACTGAGTAGAGCCCGAGTCATTTCATTTAGATGGTTTGAGTCTTTGTCACGTGCTGACTCAATTCAATTCAAGCATCTATTTCCTAAAATATTTCTTATAAATTCAATTCCAAAGATTTGATAAAAGTATATAATTACCTTGAGATCAAGAGCTTCTTTTATTTTCTTCAGAATCTTATATTTTTCTTTCCCTCTAACTCTGAGAATGAATTCATCTGCTTGACCAGTCGGTTCCGCAGTGGAAGTTGACGGCGTCGACGAAGATTTCTTTTTCTTCGGAAGTAGAACGTAACCCGGTGGAGCGTTCGCTTTTCTCTTTCTACGTTCTTCTTGACTACGATCTCGGCCAGGACAAGAGCAAATACGAACTTCGATGCATCGACGGCCGATGACAACGCCATCTCGTGTTTCGAGAGTAAAAACAGTTGTGATTGGTCGACGATTGATTCCACCAACACACGAGGATAAACACATGTACTTGAAAAACACTGTGGAATACTGGGTTCCAACCTGTAAAAAAAATCAGAAGGTAATAGTAGTGTTTGCGGAATTTTACAAAATATCTCGTTAGAATAATGTATGTTTACATAGGGGAAAAATGCTGTAAGTTCTCAAATTAGGTTGAATGTCATATATCGTATTGCTTACAGTAAGGTGAGCGAATTCCATCAAAAATGAAGAATTCAATAATAGAAGAGTTGAAGGCAACAACAATGATGTACAAAAAGCTACATTTGAATTCATTGTTGTCATGGAGACCTGAGTAAATACTGATGAAACATAAAAAAATCCAAATCAGGAAAACGACTAAATAGAATTATAGTTATGAAGTTTACAATTTTTACTCCAATTAAGTATTGATTTCGCAATGAATAACAAATGTACTGGTACCTATTAATTGATAATCAGAGCAACTAGAATTAAAATTCAACAAAGGCAAATGCAGCCTTTTTTATGTTTGCTGAGAATGCTTACGCGATTCTGCCAAAAATATTAACCCTAATTATCAACAACCAAATTCAGTAATCGAAAACTTCGCTACTCTAGGGAATTCAAAATACAACTCCAATATACAAAACCTTCGACAAAGACCTACTATTAATATCATAAACTTATCTAAACAAGAACTAATGAAAATACAAATCTTCTGCATACCTCGGGATTACAGTATGCTACTGTAACACTTTCTCTTCCATCAGAAGTCGGAACGTAACGAACTGAATCGATACCTGGTTGCTCAGCTCGTATTAAATGTCGAGCAAGATGATCAGCCGAATTATCTTGTAGCTGATGATTAGGACAACGAGATACAACCTCTGTAACATGCTCTGGTCTCGTGTAGACTGGTAAAGCCCTGAGAAAGAAATAGGTATTTGTCTAAGTTTTCGTCATTCTAATCTCAATCAGATGTTGGGGTATACTATTTTGCCTACCCTGACTGGTGTATTTGATTGTATTAAGATTATTTTCACAAAAGTTACATCTCAAGTAAATTGAATGTTGTCCAATCAGGAATGTTCAAAACAAATCAAACCGTATCAAATACAATATTATGACCACGGCCTTTAACAATATCTGAGAACTAATAAATTACCGTAGAAAGCCAATCTAATCACCGAAAAATCTCGACATCTTGAATTTTTAAATTCAAATTTCCCATTGAATATACATATATTTCAATGTATCTTCCTCAAATACGACACAATTTAAAACACTCAATATTCCATATTCAAAAAAAGTACCTACTTAATGGCTTTGAATAATCTAACGGAGGAGCCAACCATAAATTTCAACCATAAATAAATATAAAATTCAGATATAGGGCAAATTGGACAACAAAAAAATTTCTATAAATCCAAATTTCATTTCGAAATGGCAAATTTCGCAAAAAAAGGCATTCTGTTGATTCGTTGAAAAACGTTTCAATATAATCTAAAATGTTTCAAAATAGTATTTATTACAAAGTTTGTTTTATAAAAATATATTCTTTAACCATAAGTTAAGTTATTCATCATAATAATTCTATTTAATAGCCTAAGTGAATTCGTAACAAATAAGTTCCAACCTACTGGTGAACTAGCGTGATGAAAAATTCCAACAAAACCACGTTTCAATATTTGATTAAAGGATGAACGTGCGTGCCATTCACAAACATTCGGAAGTGTTTCATATAGTGGGTGAGTTCAAAGCAAACATTATGCAAACGAGACTTTGGTATAAGTAAATTAAAAAAGTGATGCAGAACCGTAAAAATTCCACCTTTCTTTATTGCTTATGAGGTATCGTGTGCCATTCATTCCATACTAAAGACAATTTTACGACTTCATTATACTTTTTTTATGCATATTCTTAATATATGTGCTGAGAACATTGCTCTGGTCTGTATAAGCCTTTATATACTTTTACTAACCTTAATCAATAAATTCTGTCGATAAACAGATTGAAATCAATGACTTCAGATAACTAAGATAGTTAAGATAGATAGATATTTTGAATACTTTTAAATTTTCAAAAATAAATATCGGTCACAATGAGATTTCAAGAGCTTGAAATGATAATTTTCAATTTTTATTTTATTTTGTATTCAATAACATAATGTATCGAATTCTAATAAAAATATTTGTGAAGTGATCTGATATGCATCACTAATTGCAAATATTACCAAATTGATTAATTAAGTAATTAATAAATCAAATTACTATATTCAATTACCTTATAATACAGCCTTCAGGTGGTCTTGTGCGACATCTGAATTGAACCGGACAGAGAGCGTTCATTTTTACGAATAATTTTTCTAGTAGGGTCGAATGGGTAAACTGCGCATTTTTAACTGCTGATTCTGTGCTCTTGCCGAAATATATTTCAAATCCATTATCACCAGGATAATCAGATAATGATGGAATAGATCCAGACTTATGAGGTTGTTGTTGAATGATATTTCCCGGTGGTGTAATCGGGAAATCCTATGAAATTGGATAAAACATGGATGGTATAAGTATAAAAATACACTGTTAAGGATAGTTTATACATTATTAATAAAATAAAAAATTTCCAATATTACATTGAGCAGTCGGCGAGTGTTTTCTTGAAAAAAAATTTACTCAGAGCACTCACTCAGTCAGTAGTAAGAGACTGAGATCTGAGTAAAATTATAGTTGATCGTAATCATTCATAGAAAAAGAAGAGAGAAGAGTTGAATCAATATTGATGTGATATTTCAAAAATTAAAAATCACAAAAAATTGTCGTTTTGTTTAGTTTTCAAACTTCATCAGCCGTCTTAAGTCAATTTTGTTCTTTGAATTTTTTTTCCCAAAATCAACATTTAATTACCATATAATATGTGAATGTATTTAAAATTTCGAATAACCCCGGCAAACAGAAAGTCTTGCCAATTTAAGTATTGTAACTTGTAAGTACTTTCGAAAACATGTCGAGCTTATAATAAATCAAATGCTTTGTACATACAATAATGAAACACCTTCCCATATTAAACAAATATATTCTACTCTATTAGAACAACAAACTCGTTAACTAGTGCCATACTCAATCAGGACTTGTAACCAAATGAGTAGCGTGGTTCGTCATATGATCAAGTAACAGTATTTGAAATTCACTAGTTAACATTGTTTTTCTGATCATATTGCACTGCAATATTTCTATATATTTCCAGTAGTTACTCGCATTTCAGGGAGTACTCGTGACTTCGCACATATGAACTTGCTCTAAAGAGATTTTTTGTAAAATTAAAAAAAATGCTCTTAAAAAAACATGTCTTACTGGTTACCTTATGGTTCTGAGGTAAATATGAAAAAATTCTAATCCAATCGTACATTTTTATTTAAATTCACTTTCTAGATTTCTCATCAAAAACGTATTCAACCATAAAATTACAATAAAAATGATCAGAAGATACTATAACACATTTCCATAATGTCATCATACCTGTCTCACAGTAGGTGTATATGGGCTATTTGAAATGCTGGCTCGATCACCACTATTTGGACTTAATGCATGATTGTTATATTGGTCGTAATTCTGTCCAGCAACTGTGTTCATGAGGCATCCATTATTATTGTTTCGATAGGTAGTAGTCACAAATACATTTTGACCTCCCAGTTGATTAGTAGGACAGGACACAAATGGTTGTTGATGCTCCTGAAATATAAAAGTTGCTTTATGTTATTGGAGTGCGAAAAACTACTTGGAAAAGTTGGTGAATTATATAAATAGATTTACAAAATAGAACATACACACTATTCGTGATTAAGTGATCACGAAGTCTTGAATAACACTTTCACAAATTTTAGACTGTAACATTTTGTCCGACAAAAGTGAGACAAGAATTTTATCAAAGATTAGTCTTAATATGGAAACACAAACATTTCAAGCATCAACAGCCTAAACCTAAGAAAAGAGTCTGGAAAAAATTAAGTCTAACCTATTATTATAAAAACGCAACTCCAGCTCTGGTTTGGCTAAAATTTTGAAGTTGAAAAGAAACTTGAAACATGCGATTCCATCTCCAAAAAAACCAAAATATACGGTAATAGTGGACACTTCAATGTGTGCAAACCTTCAATTTTCTGTACAGTATGCTTTGGCAACTTAATACTTTTTGAGTTTCTCAAGAGTATTTTGACTTCAAATCTGAAATTCCTAGTCTGACAAATTCAAAATTTAATTTCGGCTCTGACAACTTTGAAAATATGACCCATAAAAACATGCCAAATTTTGACTACATCGAAGAAAACCATAAAAAATGATTCAATTACCTGATGATGATAAAACTGGTTCTGTTGTGAGTTGCCAAATATTATATTTTGATTCCTATGAACTTCAACACATTCTGGTTTATTTTCTTGAATGCATACAACACGGCCTTGTGTCATACCATCACCATTTGTAAATCGATTTGAAGGCAGCATAGTATCAAGATTTTCATTGAAATTAATTTCATCTGTCAAAGCATAACCTCCTTGGCTCATCGTGTTGAAAAGATCACTAAAACTTTCGTGGTCTGGTATATTATTTTGCTGGTGAGTCATGATTGATAAATGGAAGGCAAAATGAAGTGCAACACTTGCACCCCAAAACACATTAACTATGACATAGGATGATTATAAGCCTGCAAAAATAAGCACACTGTTAGGCAATAGAGCGTGACTGGACGGAATAACCTTTATACTAGCAAGATATTCTCAATGGCGGTACAGTATTTTACACTTCATTCATCCTGGTTCAAGATAATGGCGCAAGTGTGCTGCAAGATAATTAGGAGCATGTCGTAAAATATCAACCCATTTCCTAAAAGATTATTCCCTATATGGTTGCACTCAGCTTATCATAATATGACGGAATATATATTCAGATATTAGGCATAAAATAGATCCAGAGATAAATATAACAAGTCTCCTGAAATACTTCCAGTGGGCGTAGCACAACGATTTTATTAGTGTAATATTCCTAAACCCCACCTCAGTACGTCACCCAAAAATTACATCACTGCACCGTCACAATCGCCTCATAGAGCTTGTTAAAGTATAGCTACAATCGTCCGATATGGCATTTGTGTCGACTATGATGAACTCACTAACGTCGGCGATCTTTCTCTTATCGGTATCGTTTTGACAAGAAAAAAAGAGAAATAGCTTGCTCGATTTCGAATAATTGTCTGCACGACCATCTGTATACTTTGGAGGGCCGTATTACGTTACTGCGAGTCTGCGACTTTGCAGTGACGTAATTTTTGGTTGACATGGCCAGGTGAGGGTGAATGGCATATGCAAAAATTGTTGAGCCTGGCCAACCAGAAATACTTGCGGCATGTACTTCAGGAGACCCAATATAGCTTATGACTGTATTATATCAGTACCGGTATATATGACATCTAGTCACTTCTCAGCCCTGCAGCCTCTAGTACTGTAGTAGTATCACATTGATCAAATATATTGCATAACTTTTGCTTGTCGTAATTCAGTGTTAATAAAGTCAATTTTTTTGTGCGTGACCCTATTACAAAAAGTACGGTACCGTACTACACCGGTAGTCTAAATGCGTCATGAATTTGGGAACCTCTAAATTATTGAATTTACTGAATGACAAGAACCAGATAAACCAATGTATTCATTTTGGATTCCAGAATTTGAAAGAATGAATATAATAATAATTGATTATCAATTTTTTCTACCGACTACTAGGTTCATGTGGATTCCAATCTCACAGAACTACCGACCAACAGAAGAAAATTTGCTCCATCGCCATTGTGTCAAGCGCAAACACCACAGAGTAAACAGAGAAATAGGATAGAATGTGATAGCGTAAAAATATGGTAATGTAGCTAATAATCATTGACATGTACCAATATAGAGTAATAAATTTATTATGTAGATATCACCAATAAAACTAGTGAACTAGCTTACAAAGCAAATTTAACTACAAACCAACAACACCAAAGTTGCATTTTTAGAAATTAGCGACTTCGGAATGACATCGGCCATAAACGTAATCTCGTGTGATGCGGACTCCAGCCACCTCCAAACGTGCCATGCGAACGAACAACGAAATTCTGTCTTTTTAAACTCGAGAAAAAAAATGTGAGGCTATTTCTGATTTTGATATGTTTTATCCGTAGATTACAGTCACATTATCATAAAAATGATTTCTTCATTCCATTTATCTTATGCTGGTCAAGGTCAAAATGAAATGTCAATTTTATTTATTTGACTCCGTACTTAGCAAAAGATAAACATATATAAACGACAAAAACAATGACAAAGGCATGAATAAGGACATCAACCAAGCATTTGCAATATTTTGTAAGTATGAGTTAACAGCAAACATTGCACCGCATAGCCAGTTAAAAAGACTGATTTTGACGCAACGAGCGCAATATGTAAAAATCAACAGCATCATCGTTTATCGTTAGATCGCTGGCATACGTACTATTTTTAAACCCATGGGTTTGGTTTAAAAATACTCGCGTTTGTCATACTTTCTAAATAGAACTGATGCGCTTGACCCATTGACCTCGTACATATTTAACAATGGTTTCTTCCCCATAATCGTTTACGATACTCAAAATCAACATAGCGCCGTGTGAGAGCATCAGCATCACATTTTCAAATCATCAGTATATCAAGCTTCAATGTCGAGAATTTTTAGTCTGGGTCAAAAGAGTTTTTTTTTCATTTTTGTCATTCAAAGGTTAAAGTAAATTTTCTTGTGCAAATGAAGTCTATTTCTCGAACGCCAAGAAGTTGAGTTAGCGAGAATTGCCCTTACAGCACATCCTTGAGTGAAGCTCCCAAGTTATTTCTAAGACTCTGAATTTCATCCAAGCCCAATTGTTCAAGTCAAAGAATAGTCAAAATCACGGACAAATTTATCATTTATTGATCGCACAAAAGCTGGACATAAGGCAGAATGATTTAAACGAAGTAAAAAAATGTGAACAAAGAGGTTGTGAACTCGTCGATATGTTCCATTAAACCCAATCAGAGAATAATTGTAAATTTCTACATAGCAGATAGATATATGCATTTTATGCAACTTTCGTGACGAATCTATCCACAATTATGAACTTAGCGAAGTTGGCTACAGCAACGCTGACAAAACGTGCCGTGCCCTCCAAATCTGACCTGGGAACAGTTCAGTGTTTACATTGTATACGGATATTTTTAATTCCAGCCTCGGAGAGACAATTATATAAAGAGTGCATCACCGATCAGGTTTCTTTCTCATGTCTACGTCTCCTTTACTCGCACTCGTCGACTCCGAGGATTGAATAAGTCCACTGAGGTCTTCTAATTTAATACCAGCTGCTTCAGCCAGTTGCGCTGCTTCTGATCTTGAAGTATTTCGACCCAACTGTGAGTCGACGAGTTGCTGTGTCAGCAGTTTTGCTAAACTTTTTTTGACGTCATCATCGTTCTTATGTGGCCCTGACCTTGACACGTCATGATTATCAATGTTCTTCGGAATACGATCCCCACCGGTATCAGCATTTTTATTCGCAGCTTTAAAGTCTGTGGATTCCTTCTGTGAATATGCTCCATACCGATAGTCGACATCTTCAGATGGACGTGCTGAACTGTTTGGTGTAGTTCGCTTTAAAGTCCTTTCTGCATGACTGGGTGCGCCAGATCCATTTCTGCTCGATGTACCTTTTACTGAAAAGAGAAACATGTAGAAATAAATGGATAACATTATCATTTCAGAAGAAAATACAGAGTCGGAGAACTTGATAAAAAAGAAGATTATTAGCACTACTTCAAGTTTTTTCAAGTTTAAAAGGCCAATGTCGGAATATTTCTCAGGAAATACTGCAAATTTTCAGCAAAATAAATATACCGTATTTGCTCGTTTTGTGGCCCGAGCCCATATTTTTTTCAACAAACTCACTAACCGGGCCCCTATTCAAACCGGCCATTATTCAAGCACGAGCGCTTGTAATTTTCTATCGATACAATAATTAATACATTGTTATTTCCAGTTCTCAAGTATGATTTAAATGAGAATAACGAAAATTTTGACTTTTTCACCCATCGCAAGTACAAATCCGTAAAAGAAGAAAAGTTTTGCGACGCCCTATCAATATTGAAATGACGCACTTGGTCGTCGCGACGGCCAGTTTGAGAACCATGGTGTTACGTAATCAATGCTATCTGTTATGTACTTGGACGCCTAAGTCGTGAGTGTTATCTACCGGCGCTTAGAATTCAACAGCGTTGTGACAAAAGCGCTTGCTATTGTTCTCTACCACTGAAAAATCATCGGGCGGGTATGCAAGCACCGGCCCTTATTTATTTTTACGTCCTGTTCACACGGGCGGCTATTCAAACGGGCCTATAATCAAGATCGGGCGGTAAAACGAGCATATACGATATATAAAGAGTGAATAATGGAAAAAAAATGTGTAACCACAAATTTCAACCAATATTATCCTCACTGCAAGTAGTACTTCTCATATCATACTTTTTCATTCTATGAAACTACCACCAATGCTTCTCCAAAAAAAACAGAAAGCAGGTCATTGAGAACACATTCTAGAGAAAACATAACTTTTGTGCAAAATGTTCTAGATTACTCAAACTTTTTGGTGATAGTTAAGTTTTCATTTTCGTACAAGTAAGAATAAATATTTTTTTGAGTTACCCTGTGCATGACTTAATATAATAAATTGGACTGTTTACATGATTTATAAAACCTACCTGTAAATTCTGTGAGGTGAGCTCCTGTTGGTCCTTTTAGACCAGGCCTGCTTGGAATTGGTGCAACATTAACTTTAGGTGCAAGCTTTTCTTTCGATGTACCTGAATAAATATTTACAAAATTATTTGATACTGTAATCATGTTTTTCAATTTATAAAATAAAATGTTTTTGAAAGCCTGAGGGCTGACAGATACACAAGTTTGACTATATATATAACTGAGTATTGATTAGATAATTGATTAGGATAGGATCAGAGATGGCCGAAACTATTATATTCCATTTTGAATACATTCTAAATTAGGGGCAAGTTCATGTGGGAAATTACATAAATCACTATATCTTCATGTTGGTCATTTCTTAAACAACATAAATAAGAAAGTCATTGCTTTTTTTGTATTGTTTGTTATCCGTTGAGATATCGTACACTTTGATCTGGTTGTCTGACTGCTTAAAATCTTTAATTATCCGATTTTCTTTATATCGAATATATTGAATTTCAAATGGATTGGATTATTAGAATCATGCTTTTTTGATTTCTTGTCGAAATTCTGACTAAAATATTGTCATTGAAAGTCAAGAAATTTGGACGACCTTAAAAATACAACTCCAACTATTAATGAAAACATTTCAAATTTCACAACTCCGGGATAATGAAGTGATGAATTTGTCTAGAATTGATAAGAAACTAACCAGAAGCTTTGCTTGAATCATTTGCTGATTGCTGAAGTGATTTTTGCATTTGTGAAAACAGAGCACCAAGATCTGAAAGTCGAAATTAATGAAATTAATCGAACGAGCAACTGATAGAAACTAAATTGAAAATTCATAAACATGAGTAAAGTAAATTTATATTTAAACCAAAAACCAGAAATCAAGAGTGAAAAAATATCTCCTCCAAAAATGTCATTGCCAAGTTTTTGCAATAAATATTAATTGCCAAATTAACGTTTACTCATCGATATTAAAATAGGCATGATATAGTGTATGATTTGATACTTCTGATGTAAATATAGCATGCAATAAATCCGCTTGTACGACTAATTACTCGATGGTTGATTTTGCATTTGAAAATCATTTCCAGTGGTCAGAGTCAAAATTAAGGATAATTTTTTATTTCCAAGAATTTAAAAATAAGAAAAATAAATCGAAACTTGCCGTTTAGCGAGCTATGTTCCTTTGAGTCTTTATTTTTCATCAATGCTGAATAAAGGGCTTGTGGATTTAGAGTACCAAGGAATTTCATACTCTCCGGATCTAACGGCATGTTGAGTGCTTCTGCTAATTGTGCCAGATTCATGTTTGGATGTTCTTGTTGCAGTTTCATTAAAGCTCCCAATTCGTTGGGTTTTGGCACCTGTTTCATAAAATTGAAAAATTAAGTATGGAGAAGGACTAAGAAAGATATTTCACATTATCAACGACATTGATTGGTGGATGCAAGGATTTATCTCATGTCCACTATTTCCCCCAACATGAAATTGGGTAGGGTTTGTGAAGCAAAAATATAATACTCCCTACATAAGAAGTTACTTGTTAATGCCTCATTTGGGGACATGGTAAGAATTGAAAACTCTTTTTTGAGTAAATTTCTTGCTATTTTGAGTGAGTTTCTATGACCCTGCCTAAATAAAACTTTTTACAAAAAGATTTTTTCTTTGATTTGATGTTTCTAATGGGTTGTCTTTTTGATATTTCGGATTTGGGCCATAGTTACTGGTAGTCCAGTGGCCCTGTCAGTGTAAAAAGCTGAAGTTGAGGATATCTGTATATTTGCAGGCAGAACATATAAAACAACCCTTAAAGGTCCTTTTCGTGAATTTGCAGAATAAGGCATTGTATTTTCAATACAAACAAAGTATTTACCCCTCAGATATTGAAAAACATTCGGTTTGATTATTTTGTAAACATGTCATTACTAGGGCTGGGAATGGTTATCCGGTTAACCAATTTCAGATGGTTAACGGTTACGATTTATTTTAACCGTTAACTGACATCTCAAGTTTAAATCATCTTTATAATGTACAATTCTTTAAAAAATGATTACGTCATGGCAAATTCATCTTCCGTGGAATTTAATTCAAAAGAATATTGCTAACTGTATTGGTGATGACCTAATAAATGTGAAAAATAATTGAAGTTCCAAGATTGCTGATTATGAAAATTTGACAATAATTAGTTATGAATCAGTTTTCGGTCGAAATATATTGTTCACGATTTTATTTCATAATCATATATTCAATGTCAACCAACAAGTGCGTAGTTGATGCTGTTTTTCTATATATATCTCAAAGTAAAATTTGCACATCAAACACTGAAAATTTGTCACATAAATGACATTTAATAATGAAATCGGGTTTAACTAAAATACTTCCATATGTCCTACCCATGTGACGTAACAAGCTAAAATCATAAATTATTATGTGAAACATCATGCTGCGGTTAACCGGTTAATTTTACCCGGTTAACGGGTAAGGTTTTCCCTCGAATTCCCAGCCCTAATCATTACCTCTTTAGTTTCTCGTGATCCCAAGTCTCTTAAATCTGTGTCTTTTGATCGACTTTCACTATTTGATTTCGAGTTTGGACCAGTGGGTATAAGATGTATAGGAGCTTTTCCTTCAGCCATAAGTCGCTCGTTTTCTCGCATTTCCTTTCGTCGCTTCTTACTCCACATTTCATGACAATCTTGCCATTTTGGAAAACTAAAAACAAAGAATCGTGTTTTTGAGCAATAAGAGACACAAGGTGTGCGAATGGATCATTTTGCGGAAATTTTGTACTTAAGATGAACTGTGGTTGTTTATTAGACCAACGTGTCCAAATATTGACTGTTGCTCTCTTTTTTTGGTAGCAATGGCATAATAACTGTTAAAAAAACTTACTCTGGCATAGTCATACTAGTGGGATCAACATTCCGCAACCAAGGACAGTTGATTGCCTCTTCTGCAGAGAAGCGTTTCGCTGGATCAAGCATTAACATTTGGTCGAACAAATCAAGAGCGAGAGTTGGCAAACTGAAATATAAAGTCAAGAATATCATACTTCAGACTAAATAGATTCTTGAACCAAAATAAAGAACAAGTTCAGTGATTCTCAAACGCCCATGAGCTGTCGTCCACTTATAATATCTCACAACCTGCTTTACTTTGAAAATACAGGGCAGTTAATAAAGAGTTGACGTAACCGAGTTGGTATCACATTATGTAATTAATTGAGTATGCAATGCCAAACCCTAAAGACCTGTGAATAACCACAACGTCACGTCACGTCATAGAGCTTGCCAAAGAAAAGCTACAATCGCCCAAAGTGACACTGGCTAACGCCAGCAGTCTCTCTCATATCGGTATTGGTACAATAAGAAAGCGAGAGAAATAGCTTGCTTGATTTCGGGTGATTGTCTGCGCGTTTCAGGCGACAATCCATGTACTTCAACGGACCTTTCGCCGCTCTGACGTTGTAGTAACTTAATTTTTTTATGACGTAGTCAGGTGGGGGATAAAAATGACATATGCGCGAAAATAGTTATGCCCCGCCAACTGGAAGTACTTGACGGGGTTTAGTGAACTAGCCCCCAAATTCCACCTAAACAAGACCATGGCAAACAAACAGGTTGCAGAAATACTCACAATGCAAATTCTTCTCTTAATCTACGTCGGTACTGTCGTTTTGGTTTCATTGTGTGAAAATGAGGCAGTTTAATAACGTCGGGCCACACAGCGGGGCACGGACTTCCACATACTCTGCTAATGCTCTCTAATTGCGTTATTTCTCTGTCGGCTTGAAATAGAGGCTTCTTAGTGAAAAGTTCGCCCAGAATACATCTAAAGAAAAGAAGTATTAGCTTCAACAGACGACACAAATTTAAACATGGATGTAAAACCCTTTCAGGAGTATAATACATGGGGTAAGAAATGTCGAACCTCTAAAATCCTTGCGTATTAGTATATGCTTGTGGAGAATTTTGTTCGGAAGTAAGGCGTGAAAGTCATATACAAAATATTATAAAAATATATTATTTATTTATAGTAGCATTCATTTCAAAGTTTGTTCCAATTTCATTCTTCAACATATCTAGATATAACAGCAATCTAAATGCATTGTAGCTATAATTCAAAAACAGAAGCTTAAAAGTTCAGAACTCTACTAATAGAATAGACTGAAAATCTTCAACAGAGCTTAATCATTTTGTGGAACCTATGCTAAAACGACATGACCACAGCAGACACACACAGCCTTTATAGGTCACAGCGCATTGGCAGAATATCATAGTCTAGTGAGAGAGATGCAATCATCAACCAACCAACACCATTCCCGAACACAAAATAATAGTAAAAAATGCAAATTTAAGCTCTGGTTACAACATTCCACACAAGAGCTAATGTTAACATTGTTTTACTTATGTTACTTTTACTTTTCGTTATAAATGCAAAGGTGTATTGTAAAGTCAAACTAACGAAGCAGTATGAAGTAATAAACAACAAACCCGCAGCTCCAAATGTCAATTGCTGGTGTATATGTCTCCTCACCCAATAATAATTCAGGAGGTCGATACCATAGCGTTATAACACGATTAGTATATGGTCGCCTAAAAAAATAAAACCAAATAGCATATGGAATAATTTTAATACAAATGTTGGAATTCTATAAGAGAGCCCGATAGAAAGTTAATTTTTGAAAAATACTTTTTGGATTCATCATTGAAATGGTGTGTGTGATGCATGGTCGAATGATAAAATGTAGAATAGAACTTTTATGGGCACTTTAGAAGTATGTGTACCTGATGGAGGGAACTGATTTTGTTCGCCTACTTTACATCAAGTTGTGTGATGGGACTGAAACTTATGGGCAGGGTGTATGTACTTGGCTAACATAGACAGTCCAAACTCATAATAGGACTAAAAAGAGGAAAATCGTAATAAAATTATGCACGAACCCTAACCTGCTACACACACTACGAATGTGCATAAAAATATTGGACTACGTATCTGAAAAGATTAAAAGCTGAAAAACTTCCATATACTATAAAACATTGGCGAGATTATGCATACTCTTTACAAATTGAAAAATAATATTAATATTATACTCACGGTTCCTCTGTATCATAAAATCTCGCTAATCCAAAATCCGCTAATTTAATTTCTCCTTTGTTATTTAATAAAATGTTAGAGCACTTAATGTCCCTGGAAATAAAGAAGCAAGATGATTTACAACTTGAAAAATTTATAATTTGAATTTATTTTTTAAATTGGTATAAAAGCGAATATCAAAAATACCAATATAAAACACTCTAGAATTTCCAAACTGAACTTTCATACAGTATAGTCTGCATGTCAAAAAATAAAAAACATGTCACACATAATTTAATTCCGCCGCTGTCTCCCACCGTCTGCAATGGTAGATAAAAAAACGAAAATCAAAATAAAATCTCCTGCTAAAAAAAACTTCCCATTTTCTATGTTTTAACAAAATTTCAAGGTACATGTCCAAAACATAGTTATCACAAAACAAAAATGAAAGTGTTCGTACCTATGTAGAAATCCTTTTTTATGACAGTGATTGAGACCATCCAATAATTGTCTCATAAATGATTTGACGTGATTTTCATTAAAATGTACGAGTCCAGACTCCAGTAATCCCATTAAATCGTGATCCATGTATTCGAATACAAGATAAAAAGCTCCTGAAATACAAAAAAAAATTAAAAGATTTCTGACCAGAGATGTGGGATCTGATTTTGGCCATGCATTTATAGATATTGAAGTCAATTTGGGACCCATATATTTATTAAACTACTCAGATCAGTATTTGGAGTCAAAATTTTAGATTTCCATGTTCAACAAAAACTAAAAACAACTGGACACCAATTGTCATAGCTTCAATTTTTTAAATTATTATTTTTATTTTAAAAAAAATATCTAAAATATTTTGTTAAGAGTGTGGAGACTCCACAGACCGGGCTCGCACACAAAAGAATAAAAACAAAATGTACCTTTATCTTTGCGAAAATCGGTAGCATCACTCTTATCTGTTAGTACGTCCTTGAGATACACAATGTTTGGATGTAATAACTGTCGTAATATTTTGATTTCCCTGACTGCTGTTATAGGAAAACCTTCTCGTTCATTATCAAGACGTACCTAAAATGTAGAAAAATGGCATAAATTTACCAAAAATAAATAAGAGTTGAGTAGAATTTGGAAATTGTTCTGAATATCAACAACCAAAATACTCATCAAATAGTAGGAGAAAGCGGTTTCAGCATTTTTGTTAACAGAACAAAATTAAATAACCATCAATGTTTTGAGAATGGAAATATGGAAAGAGTTTGAATTGCCAATATTGTCGAAAGACTTTTGAAGCAAGTATCACATGCTTCAACGCAAGAAATTTTGGTGCAAATTGACACCAACTAGAAAATTTCATATTTTCATGCTGAAAATATAGACGCTCTTCACTTTTGAAAATTTTTATAATCTTTATGCATATACCTAACATGCTTAGATAAACCGACAGCGAACTGAAAAATTCCGTACTCCGTCCAAAACAACAACTGCTGCTTGTACAGAGCCTTGTTTGGAGAGAAAAGCTTAGAAACATGTCGAAAAAAGTGTTGAAGACTGACCTTCTTCAATGCGCAAACTGCCTTCGATTTCTTATCTTGTGCTTTATAAACTTGACCGAAGGTTCCTTCACCAGTAATAGATAATACTTCGTATTCGTCAACGCATCTCGTGCCCCAGTCATCATCGGTAGCACCAACTTCGCCAAACCTAGGTCCGCAGGTCCTGAGAAACAATATTCAGGTACATATTTTAAGGGTACTCTAGAACAGTGGTTTCCAACCTTTCTATCCTGGCGGACCGGTAAAATTAAATTAAATGTACTCGCGGACCGGCAAAAAATTGAAATAACCGGAACAGATAATATAATGCCATGTCGGGCACTCAAAAAAGGCACACTTAAAAACATTTCACACGAAGAAAAACTATCAAATAATGTGCCAGCCAAAAATTAAAATGGGTAAAACATAATTTAATACCATCTCTTTCGTAATAAAATGCAGTACTGGGCAGTGGCGTAGCAAGACTCTCGTGACCCCGCAAAAATATTTCGAGGAAATGACCCTAAAAACTCTCGGACAAAAGCTAAATCAACGCTTATTTTATTTCGTCAAAAAGCATAACATGTCGCTATTAAAAGGCAATGGTAACATAAAATTTGCCGTTTATCTTGGTTACTTTATATTTTTTTCATACGTGCGTACTCTTCTGCCCTTTTTTCGCGTTTCTGTGCACCACTGAGAGGTTTTGCTTTCGACATCATTGTGACAGCCTTTGCAATTTTGCCGGTGCGATCAAACCACAAGACGCCGAAAATCGACGACTCCCTGGCATTGTTACTTAACAAAACGAATTGAGCAGAACTAACATCAACATTAGATGTGCATTACTGGTTTTGCAATGTAACTTTTGGTTTTGCGGCTTACATTTCTAAATTCTAACCGCTTGGGCCCCTTGGCGCTGTGGGCCCTCCCGCCACTGCGGGGGTGGATTCTATGCCACTGGTACTGGGCACCCATTATGCGTGAGAAAGGCACGCATAAAACATTTCACATAAAAAACATGTACATGCCAAATATTGTATAAACACAATTAACTCTAGTGAGAATTTTGCTGCTGTTTCGTTTCCAATATTGGATTGCAAACGAGGCCTCAAAGAAGTTTCTGCAACACGTAGCTCTGCAGAGGCGAGTAGCCGATTTTGTTGCTTCGTTTTAATTGAAGCTAGTGATGAAAATGTTTTTTCGCATAACGCAGTAACTGATTGAAAATACGGACAACAGTTTGATTGCTTACTTAGCGATGGGTATTCGCCATCGAGAGATATCCAAAATTGTGACAGTGATTCTTTCTTAAATCTGGACTGTAAAGTTGAATCACAATTTAAATTAATTTTTTTTTTTTGACTGGCAAGTTGGCACCAGGATCAAAATCCTACTATGTCTGCTCAAAATATTGGAAAAGATCTCTGCCGCCCATTTTTTTGCGCGTCTCGTGACCACCTGCAGTGTCGCAACAAGTTCATATCTTACTGGAATATTATACTGCTCTTGACTGTTTTCTGGTTTAAACAAAGGAAATATGCATAACGTTTTATATAAATGGTCATAATAATCAGGAATATGGCGCAGAACAGAAAAAGAACGCGTGCCAATTTTTAGCTTTTGAATTTTGCCATATTTGATGGAGTGCATTCGCGATGAATCGAACCAGAAAAAGCAAACATTGTGATTACTCGGCGCCAAGATGTCGCAATATGACGGCGGGAGAGAAATTGCGTAATAAACCAACGCAACCTCATCTTCGGTAAAGCGATCGGAGCGCATTCCCGATGAATCGAGGCCAAAAAAGGGAAAAGTGTGATTACTCGGCGCCAAGATGTCGCGAATTACGTCGCAATATAACGATTATAAAAGAAATTACGTAATAAACCAACGCAACTTCGTCTTCGGTAAAGCGATTGAGACGGAATAAAAACAACGAAATTTCTCGCGGACCGGCGAAAAAGCTTCGCGGACCGTTGCCGGTCCGCGGACCGGCGGTTGGGAACCACTGCTCTAGAAGTATGTGAACCAAGATGGCCGACACTGGAACGCAGTATGTGTACCAGGTTAGGGTTAGGCCATAATTTCAAGTACGAATACTTGGCTAGTCCCCAAACTTGTAATAAAACAAAAATAAGGAAAATTGAATGAAATTGTGGCCTAACCTTAACATGGTCTACATACTTCGGGAGTACATTTTTAAGTTGCGTATACTATCCCAGCAAGCATGGAGGTAATTCAGATAAGATTGCCTTGGGTAGTCATTGGGGTGGTATCGGGTACAATTATCTAAACCCCAAGTTTCAAGTATTTTTAACATGTCAATTTAGGATTAATAAGTAGTTCCCATTATGTTTCAAGTCTCGCATGCAGTCATATTAGATTTAACAAGTAACAGTGAAATGAATAAATATGAATCACATTGCTGTCTGGAACTTCCATTTTGAATTAAACCAAGTTTCCGGAAAATTAAACTCAAATTTATTCATGCATTGACAATATTTACCTCGGCAACAATACATCCTATTTCAAATTATTGCTGAAAAAAGCCAGTTAAATTTCAGTTTTCCCCACAAAACATCGATAGACATTGTATGTTGTATTTAACTGATATAATTTCTAATACAAAAACTCACTGACTACATCTTCAGGTCTCCTCAAAACAGGGTATACTTTAGCGACTATTATTTTACGACTAACTTTCGCTTTCCAAAGTAACGTTACCTTGGCCTTTTTCTTCTAGGTTGTTCTTTTTCAGGCTGAGGTGGAGTTTTAGTTGGATCTTCCATATCTCGACTATCTTCATCACTAGGTAACACAGGAGGGAGAGGAAGATCTTGTAGCGAGCGTTTTACTGCTTTCGGTGGTGGTTCCGTTTTTTTCCTAAAAAATTATACAAAAAAAGAATTAGCTAATCTCACAATGGTAAAATATGAACTACGGTAAGTGTTTTCTGCAAGGTTCACAAGAACAGCTTATAACAAAAAATTTATTTCCATTACTAATTATCACTAATTAAACGCACCTACACCTATAATTTAACTTAAGAGCATAGACTAACGTAAAATAACCTTATTACATGCTTTGGTTTAAAAATTAATTCATTACTCTTATGACTGACTATAGCCAATAGCAAACAATTCACAATTGGAACGAAGCTAAAGATATAGTAAACCCTCAAACCAAGTATAATTTTTCTGGATAGATGAAGCGATAGTTTCCTTAGCTTTATTTAGTCCAGCTGTACGTGTATTACCACGAAAACCAAGTATAATTTTTCTGGATAGATGAAGCGATAGTTTCCTTAGCTTTATTTAGTCCAGCTGTACGTGTATTACCACGAAAAAGTCAGTTCAGGCCACCAAAAATTCTAATACAATTGTAATGGTCATATATTGATTCCTCCTCTCATAAAAACACGCAGAAAAAACTTACATTCGGGGGCTACTAATAGATTCTTGTTTGATATCTATTTTTTTACGTTCCAACGTTGAGTCGTTTGATGCAGGTGGATGATCGGTGCTTATAATACTGTGATCTGGAAGAAAACGAACTAAAATATGATAATAACAGGGCGATTATTTAATAGAAGTTGAACCAGTGTTTATTAAACTGGGGCCTTGGCAACCTAGGTGGTACTTGAGCAATAAGCTTCACTAGGTACCATTTGCGATAAATATATTAATTTAAATAAATTGACTCCGTTTTGCTTATTTATTTGACTCTAATGCATCTACCCCTTTACTTTCGTTAGTTGGATTTTAATTAAATGTGACAATTAATAAATAAATGGTGGAAACATGTTAAAACTGAAACCAGAACATTCATAGAGGTGCTCAGGGCTACAGATATTGAAATTCTTTAGAAGAGGGTCACAGATGAAAGTTTGCACACCGCTGAGTCTGACAATTTTACCTGTATCCAGTAGTAACCAGTACAGTAATAATAAGAACAAAAGGAAAATTCAAGCTTTACCTTCCAATTTAATATCTGATGGATTTGGAGGACTTCTGAGTTGATGATTCTGAAAAAAAAGTATCCCATGGAATTTTAATTTCTCTGTTATTTGAAAGTCTTGCTGCACATGAATGAGCACATCACAAGTTTAAAGGTCAAGCTTTTTCAACCAAACACATTTCAACTATTGTGTTGTTAGTGTGCAACAAGATTTTTAAATTGCATAGATTAGTCAACTTATCCTTGCACAAGACACAATGGATTTTGAATAAAACTGAAGTTCAATGATTCATATAGGTAAAAAAATTTGGAAAAATAATAAAAACAATAAAAGTAGAAATATGTCTACGAAACATATTGTTCCATTTTCCTAAATGAATTGCATCTATATAACATAAAATAAATAAATGTATTTCACTCCAAACAAGATTTTCTAATATTGTAATAAAACAAAAAGTTTTTTACTTGATTGTATGATTCTCTGTTAGAAGTATGAACAGTAATTAATTCTTTCGACGACGACATCATAGGTTCCATTCTCCGTTCGAGTTGTTCATCAGCAAACTGCTGGTCATTGCTTAGAGCTGAAAATATAAAAATTTTGAGTAGGAACCGGTAAGTAGGGGAACTGAAGATTCTCTCTATAACAGGTGGTGTGACGATAAAATTAGCCAGCGGCACATTTCGTGTCCAAAAATTCAAAATATAAATAGACTTACTTATTTGAGTGTTATATTCCGGGATTGTGGGGTTCGCTGTCACAGTAACAAGAACATCACGATTTATTGCATTTGGCCTGGTTGGTTGTTGCATACTTGCCAACATCTGGTCGTGGATTCGATCGTCACGATCAAGAGAATTAGGCTGTTATGTTAAAATAAAAAATGTTGAATGATAACCATTTTCAATCCTAATTATTACTTAAAAACATTTTTTGCTGTCAAAATTCAGTTTGGAAGTAAAAATTGTTGGCTCCTCTTAGTCCAATTAAAACATTAAATTCCAACTCACAACTTCATTGAATGTTGGTCCTTCTGCACTGCTGGCTTCACCTGAACTTTGATTTTTCTCAGATTTTCCTTTCTTTCTTTTTTTCTTTTTTCTTCGTTTACTGGAATGTTTATGAGATTTTCTTTTTGATCCTCGATCTTCATCAGCTGAAGAAATGAAAGAAGCTTTACAAATAAAATGATGGAAACCACAATGAATCAAAGCAGAGAAATACAACTAATTAATAAATAATAATTACCAAGAGGAGTCGACTCCGCAGCTGAAGCGGCTAATTCTTCTTCTCGCATTTTCTTACGGCGCACACTCAACTGTTCTGCGAGGCTTTCTACTGTCATTTGGGGATCTGAAAAAGGTAATTTTTCAAATATATCAGAATGTTGGAATATGACTATTAGAATAATTTCGTTGAAATTTAGATATAACGAAACAAAGAAAATAAAAATGCCTTTTTTCTGAGGAGATATTAATTAAAGGTAGTGGTTTGACGGAAATCAATATAGCAACGTCTAACTTTTTAATGGAACAATTATCGCTCATAAATTCTTACGAAAAAAAAGATAAAAAAATAAACCAAAAAACACTTACTTGAACTTGTTTTCTTTTTCGAATCAGAACTTCGCTTCTGTAAAATATGAAGACATAATGAGAGTGGAATTACTTTATGTTCATTTTATAACGTCAAATATTATTTTGAAATGAAATAATAATAAATGTGCATCTAAGCAGGAATGTACCACTTCTGTGTAGAGAGTAGTATTGAAACAGTACCCATGAAAAGTTCTGAAAATACCAGTTCTGTGAAATTTAACTGTTAGTCTGTTACGTGTGTAAATTTGAAAGAAACAAGTTCAAATAAAATTTAAGTTTAGGGATATTTGAGATACACCCTCAAAAAAAGGTATGGATAACAGATGATTAAAATCTCAGCATTGCTGGCCTTTCCTAAAAGTATATAACTGGATAACTAAACAGGCATAATCTCACTTATTATCCAATAAAACAATTGTTACCGATTTAGAAGAATCCTTATGTCCAGCATTATTATTATCAGAATCACTTTCGCTTGATTCACTCTCTGATTCTGATGCAGATCTAAAGAAAATATAAAAAAAAATCGAGTTGGGTTTGAAGTTTCGAGTTAATTATATATAAAATTATTGTAAAATCAAATTTGATAAAATAAGTTACGAGTGAAAGTTCATGATTCACATTGAATTTTATAGTTGACTGAATGAATTGAATTTAGACTTAAATTTACAACTACCGGTTGCCATTTTCAAGTTTAAAATCGAAAGATTTGAATATGATTCTAGACTACCAAAACGCCACCAATACCTTACTGAGAGGCATATAGTTTGGAATTTCATAAATTTTCCAACAGGAGCATTCAGGTGTTATAAATTTTATGTCTGAAACTATGAAATTACAGTAAACAAAAAGTATATTTATTCTATAAAATAGAGAAATTCTACTTTACCCAGATTCTCTCTTCTTTGAAGATCTCGATCTTTTATGATGTCTTCGGCGTCGACTTTTACTACTTTAAAACAAGAGAGTAACACTCAAATACACTGATCCAAAGAATGGCCACTACAATAAAAGCGAAATTCCAGTCAAATATTGAGAGATTGTGCCGAATTTGAAATAACGATTCGCTAGTGAATCATAAGAAGAAAACAGAAATTGGGGTGAAATATTGGGCCCCATCGGTTTGAAATTTAAAAAATATTAAATGCAGTAAAATTTTGTCTTTCAAAATTTTAAATTGATTGGCAAATCAGTTGCAGAAAATAGTGATATTTTGATACAAAATTCAGCGATAAATCAATCTAGTCAAACAGAAAGAAGTTATTTTACAGAATTTTTCAAATAAAAACTCTTACTCTTTTCTATGTTTCCTGTTTCTTTTATGTTTTTTCCTGTGTTTATGTTTGCTTCGACTTCGACTGCGAGATGTGGATGGACTTCGAGAATTTTGACGCTGACTGGAACTTTCTGCTGCAAGGCCTGTAATATAGAATAACAATTTGACCTTATGTCTAAGAAATTGTAGAGGCCACTAAGTTGCCATTAAAGGTTACACATCCCTTGTTTAAAGTATAGGTGTGAATAAGTGTCATATACAAAAGTAGAGGATGTTTGTACTAAAATTAAAACGGTTACCATAAACACAACATCCATTCTGCCAACTATCATAATAAGCTATAACGAGATCTGAATAAACAAATTTTCCCTCATATTTTTTTAAATTTCATTCTAATATAATCTAAGTAATCTAACTAACAAATTTTATCAAGTCTCATTGTCCTTATCTTATCTTGTTATCTAATGCCCAAAGATAAATCTTTTCAAAATGATATAGGCAGATATCTCGAAATGTCATCATTACTTTTTAAATAGAATATAAAATCTATTTTACTTCCTCCTGATTTGGATCCTATTAAATCTGCAGATGAAGGATGAACTTCAGAATGATGTAGAGATGGTGATGAAGGACGATCCCTTCCATTACTTGATTCTCTGAATCTAGCAAAGAAAATATTTTTTAATGGCTCATTTAAAACCAAGACTTTTTTTGTTCTAATTCACCATTATTATTCAAATAAATTATAATTATCTGACATTAACTTCTTTACAAAGCTATTATACACAACCTTATTAAATTTTGAATTATGAAATGTAAACGTACCCAGGACTGCGATCAAACGGACGCCCTTCTCTACCATAAAATGGCGGACTTCTAGGATGATGTTCATCATATCGCCTTGGTTCGTGAAAAAATTCATGTGGCGGAGGAGCGCCTGGAAAGTGCGATGGAAACCGTCCACGTATTTCGGGCGGGGTCAGTGACCGCCGAATTATGGGCACAGAAGGCCCTCTGTGATCTACAGGAAAATCCCTTCGATCTATAGGATAACCAGGTGATCTTCGCCTGGGTGGAAACGGGGGACCGGGGCCTGGTGGATGGGTGGGTGAATGATATCTGTTGTTCCAATACGGGTCTTCTCTTCCATGTGGGCCACGTGGTGGAGATCCTCGAAAACGTCGACCAGGTGGCACCATGTATTCACCTGGACTACGTGGCGGTCCTCTGCCATCTTCAAATGGTCTTGGATCATAATTTGGGTGTGGCGGAATTCCACTAGCATGAGTTGATGTGTTCATTTTTCTATCGTCACTGCTTCGTTCCGAAGAGGAAGTTTCAGTCGTTTTGGAATTATGTTTCTTTTCCTTTCTAGATGATGATTTGCTATCGTTTTTTCTTGTGCTGGCAGGTGATTCTTTTCTTCTGCGTTCACTCTTTTCTGGAGTGTATCTCCTGGACTTTTTGTTGCTTTCACCATGAAACGAGTCTTTTTCCGCATGCGAGGTTTCCCTTTTTTGTTTTGAATTATCACCAGATCTATCTCGATGCACAATGGAATCAGAATTTCCACTTTTCTTTTTTATGACAACTTGGCGTGAACTGTCCCTTTTATAATTTGAGGATTTTGATTTGTCTCTTTCCGAATTACGAGAGGAATTTCCTTCTATGTTCTTTGACTCTTTCTTATCACGTCTTTCTCTAGATCTATTATTTGAACGAGAACCGCTAGATTTCAGTTCTTCAAAACTTGAATCCCTTCGACTGAAACTTTTTTTTCTTGGTGAAATAGACGCTACAGAGTCAGGTCCAGATTCACTAGTATTATCTTCATAAGCAACCAACGGCTTTTGCAAAGGAGTAGTAGCGACGATTTTTGAATCACGCTTGCTCTGGCGATCGGATCGATCAGATTTTTGTCTCGAATTAACACTTCTACTCGAGGGCATTTTTGCGAATTTCACCCTCAACAAAAAGGCACGGTGACATTTGATTTGGGTAAACTCGAGACATATCTAGTTACCAATCATTTACAAGTAAATTACATTTAGAGCCTGAAATGGATAAATAATAAAAAAAATTTTCAAGACATACCGTAAAACCGGCTAACTTCGGATGATTTCACTATATTTTGAACAATATCTCCGCCGCATGTTGTTCAACTGAAGCCAAATTTGGAATATAATACATTGTGGCTATTCTCGTCTTGATAAAGTCGGTTCCATATCCATCAAAGCCTTTTTTCATTGAAATTATTGTCTTTATTCGTCTATTCTAAAATTATCTAACTTCGGATGGCCACTTTTCTCTTTGCGTCAACTCGTCGTGAGAGAGAAATGTCTGCGTAAGCAATGACGCGTGACAACGTCGCTGAATAGACCTTACGCCGCCACGACCTGTCTTGCGTGTTGAATACTGACGTTTGTACGTGACGTTACTACGTGACGTTACTCTTGCCGCTTCGCGAAGCTTAACTATTTATTCTTGTGTCCTTTATTATAACTTGTATATATTTCACTAACTACTCCTAATTTATTGCAAAATGCTAGTTCGTTCTTTTATGATCGTTTATTTTCAATGCAAGAAAAGGATTTGTTGTTGGGGAACGTAGGAGAGCTTATTCCCATTGCATCCAAATAATTTTTGACAATGTTGCACATGTCCTCCGGTCCAATGGGATATCCCCAACGTGCAATGATTTCGAGGCTATTAGCAAATCGCTTCTCCTCTTCATTGGTTAAACCAGTCGGGCGACCGATACTTTTAGTGTGAGTCTTCTTCATTTTGTCGAATAATGTCGACCTTTTCACGGCATTGCGTTTAGCTGCTTTCGCATACGACATCCCTGCTCTAACATCAGCCATAGCCTTTTGCAAGTCCTCGCTATTGCAGGAGTTGTAACTTCGCTTTGGCATCGTATTGATAGATCAGATTTAATGTGTTCACAGGTAGATAGATAAAGTCAAATGACAATAAACGGATAAAAACGGCAAAAAGAAACTTTGCCACTTTTTTTCATTTTGCGCCTCACATGTATGTGGTCCAACCTCCTGCTGTGTGCATGTATGTAGAGTTCAACGCTCACATGTTGAAGATATTATTATCATCTGCCGATCGTAAACAGACATATCTAATCATTATGATCGTATAGATACATGTTTCAGGCCTAACGTATTACCAATTGTTTCGGTATCTATCGGTGTCGGAGGAAGTATGCAAAAACAAAAATCGACAAATTTCATATGCATTAAGCGTATGCATACCCATATTTTCAAATAAACAACATATGACTGAGACGATAGTGATGTTTTTGTAGGATTTAGTGACTAGGATCATGGATAAGCATAATTTTTAAATTTCACAAAACTGGGCGCCGCGATGTCTGGCGTTCAAATGTCGCAGCGAGTAACGCACGAGCTACGCAAAGTGACGTCGGCTACGAAGAGAGAGAACGGGATTTGCGTCGTTGACGTCACGCTGTACGTAATCATCAAAACGTCGATATTTTGATGTAATTTTTAAATCAAAATAATCGATTTCACTCGAATCTCGTACGACACCTTGTGATCACTGTATTTTTTTGTATACATTGTGTACGCTCTCTAGCGCTTGGCGGTGATTTGACGAAGGTAGCGTCTGTAGAAGTCACGATTTGAGCCGCTCGAAAAAACGGTGTCATTTTTTTGGTAAAATATGATTTTTTGAATGATAAAAAATCAAATCGAGCGATTGGAGGCTACGGCAGATTCAGATATGTAAGGCCTTACTATAGAAACCGACAGAAGCGCAATACGACGAAATTTAGTTGAGATATGAATGATTGAAAATTTCATCCGAAGTTACAAGGCATCCGAAGTTAGCCGGTTTTACGGTATGATTTGTAATTTTGTAATTTAATTGCCAACCTCTGCCATTTCTATTCTCTGATATTATAGTACCGGTATTATGATAAATTGAGGTGTGGCCGTATAGTTTTGAACAATCTAGGCTAGACTAACCTGACCGATCTCATTCTAGGTAAAAGTACGAGTACTGCTATTTCTTACTTTCTCGTTTCTATTAAAGTTGATAGACCACTAATGATAAAGATAACACCTGCTATTCTTTTTCAGTGTACCTACATTTCGACCATGAGATGGAATACGACAGTTTGCAGGTTTTATTTTCAGTTTGGGGGTTGTTTTATGATAATAATATACAAATGCATGTGGTTTATATGACACTTGGGAACAGTTAGTCCGTAAACATATTTTGTGCTCGATTAGTTGAGAAAGTGGAACGAACAATAAATTAAAAGTTGATTTACTTCAGTGGTTATTGGTTATAATAAAAATTCACTTTTCAAAGTTTTAATTTCTTTTTGTCCGTTTTCAGGGTACAGTACCGTACCGGTACTTGATCACTGTAAGAAACAACGGAAGAGTCTAAATAGTACATATTAAAGATCGTATATAATTTCTCATAACTGACTAATTGGATACATCATACCTATTGAAAGCTTTCAAACATAGACCGAAACAGGTAACGTAGGTACGGTACCGGTAAGTTACATATAAAAGATAATATATACCTAATATATCGAAGCTAATCATAAGTTTTTCTGACCTAATACAAAATAGGTAACTAATTTCATTCTCTACTCTCTTAATAGAAGCCATAGATTGCTATTTTCGGCCGATCTAGTCGGATATAACAAACGACAGAAAGCCAGAGCAACGCCGACACCGCCAAGGCCGATGGACGGAGTACTAATCTGCTTCGTGAGAAAAAATTTGCGATTGACGGCTAAACACTTGAGAAAAGAGTGTTGCCAGATTTGGTAGTACGTCATACAAAATTTTGAAGAAGAGAGAGAGAGATTTATTTCCACAAAACTATGTTAATTAAAAAAGACAATAGTACAGATTTTTATGAAATAACAGTGCAGTGAATATTTAAACATTGAATTGTGTTGGTCGGTATACAAAATCTTATCAGGTCACCAAAGCTCCTGACCATTTAATTCACGCTGTGATCAAACCAGAGCCGGCTTTGATCAAACTGTCAGTATGGATTACCACAAAATGAAATTATAAAATAAAGACAGAAAATAAGTCGGCTTATAAAAATTTTTTTCTACCATTCGACACTTTACATCAGATTTATTGTATAGTTCGGAGGGCATGTGTAAAATTGTATGTATATTATACCGTAGTAGTATATATTTGGCGCGGCGGTGTGGCTCAACTGGCTAAGCGTTTGGAATACGCTCGCCACCGCACCTCTAATTACTATGCATGGGTTCGCATCACATGCAGGGATGGTTATGTGCGAGAGGATTGCTGGACTCCTCACCGTCGTTGGGTGGTTCACATAACCGCTGGTCGGTTACGGCTTCCTCCACCACGAAGTCCATGCTTCCGAAAACAAACAATATAGTATACCTAATCCCATACCCGACTTGGAATGGTAACCGGACAAGAGGCCGTGGTTCGCCATATGGATAAGCCGTCTTATCGGTTTTCCTCTCCCCCGGGATAAATATGTAAATCCTATCCTATCTTATTCACGATTATCATTACACTTTACTTTAATCAAATACAATAATGATAACATTTACAGAACCTGGTTCCGTATAGAAAAGAGAAAAAGAGAGAGATATTCATTATTTTGTCAATTAAAATACAAACAGTCATCAATACGAAAAAATGTAGCGAAAAATGCCTTGGTATGGACAGGAAGGAGCGATACGACCATGCGCATGCAGCCATCGAGGTCAACTCCCACCCTATTTGCTGATGTGATTAAGGTTTACATTGAAAATGACTATTAGAAAAGTTGGTAGTAGTATATATTTACGGTCTGTCAAATAATACTTTAACAAATTCGATATAATCACAAAAAAATTCACACATGTTTTGTTGAGAACTCATTTACACAATAAAATTCCATGGGTTTCAAATGATGGTAAACAATAATATATACAAACATTCATCTATTACGAAAGGCACTACTCTTTTTCTTCAATCAAATTAAAAAAAAAAAAAAAAAAAAAATTATGTTACTGTTATGAATACCTCTTTTAAAATAAATTCCCAACCCTAATCAGACTAATCCAAAATTTATCCTCATTCTGATCAGATTACGTTTTGTAAATAGACTGTAAATATTTTTCTATAAACTTAGAGTTCAATAAAAAAAGAACCTGCATCAATTTATTAACGTGTTGTATTGGGTGGTAACTGACTCAGATGAATGTAAATGGTTGTATCGTTGCCTCCCAGTCATACCGAAAATTTTTATTCCGCTCATTACTTATCGATCTTAAGATCGGTAAGTATATTGATAGATATTTGTCTGTATGTCTGTCTGTCTGTCTGTCTGTGTGTCTGTTAGATGCACGCGATATCTCACGAAAGCGGGATTGAATCTGCTCCAGATTTTGCATGTGCATTCATCTTATCTCGGACCAGAAGCCTATTGATTTTGGGCGAATTATGTCGTATAATTAGCGAGTTATCAATCAATTATTGATATAGTGATCTAGATTTTTGTAAAGCGAGAGAATTCTGAAACCCGCCGAGTGTATGTGTGCGATGCGCAGTGCGCAAGTTACAAGAGCGGATGATTCGAAACTGCAGTTTCTGTTTTGGGGGATCCCCTAACTATCGATCGATAAGTCTTCGGTTTCCAACCGATATTCTCGTTTTCTTATTAATGTATTTTATATGATGTGTTTTCTGGTTAACGAAATGATAAATTCTCTCTCTCTCTCTCTCGATATATGAAAAGAGAAAAAAATAAAGATATTTATATACTGTATATCAGTGGGTGGTGGGCTCAAAAAATGTGGTAAAAATGTATCACCAGCATGACAAAAGATTGAATGCAGAAGTAGAAATGTCAGTAGAATTACTAACCTATTTAAGTAAGTAATAAAATATACTATATGTGAGCAGAACACAAGGGACACTTCCAATTGATCACTATGGCAACATTAATACTTAGAAGAAAAGAATGCTAACATGATAAGCAACAACGAAATGAACCTTTTTTACTGCAGTCATCCAACGT